GTGCAGTATGGAGAACGAATGGAGATTATTTAAATCAAACCTAAGTTTACGATGCTGGGACCTCGGCCAGAAACGGGAGCACAGCCAGGTAAACGAAGTTAACAGGAAATCACAGGGTACAGATGCACCTATGTGTTTTAACGCGTATAAGTTCAGCGAATATCATCAAGTTTATTGTAAAGCTTCGGTGGCAGATGCTGTACCGTGAAGTAAGATTATTATTATTTTCTCTGTTATTTATATTGTGTTGCCATAACATCTGTGGTGGACGTAAATGCAGATGTTTTGGTTGTCATGAAAATATCATGACTGCATTTCTGCGTTATGTATGTCTGTATTAATTGTATCTGTATTAAAGCTGAACCCTTGGTAATTGCAGTGAGGATGGGCTGATTCGCTGTGATGGAGAGCATTTTTCTGCCATTGTTCATCACTGCAAATCAATACAGTTATCAGCTTTATATTGATGCTCAGTGGGCTCTTCCAGGATTCCATTACCTTCATTCATAGGGGCCACTGAATGCCTTGATTGAGTCAGAAAATAATGTGAGTTTGCTTTAGAATAGCATCATCAGCTGGGGAAATCTTGGTGTCCTGCCTCTCTGTGGAGGTTAAAAACGTTTGAAGAGTCAATTCTGATGGCTCAATCATCCAACACCTTAATAAGTAACCCGCCCCCATTTTTCCACTAATTAAAAGTTTTGTTGTCACTAACAAACTTTTTTCAAATGTGGAATTTTGATAAATATGTTTCACAGATGATGGTTTTAATCACAGATTTCCTTTTTTTGCTTGCAGACTGTGCTGAGCATTATGTCTAGATATTGGTCTCTGCATTGAAATCTGAAAGGCAGTTAGTCTCATCTGACCTTTTGAAATACATAATTCTGAAGAAGACGATTGCAGATTTTTACAGCCATTGTAAGTTGAATTTGATTCTTTTTAGTCTTCTTCTCGCCCTGGTTCCCGTTATTTATTTAAAGACGAGTTTTATGCCTTCCCTGCACATGCTTTTCCTCGCTCCATCTGCTCTCTTTGGTCTGAATCCACGACATTCGCTCCATTAAAAGGAGACACTCTCTTACCGCAAGCGACTCTTTTTCCCTTTTATTGTGGTCACTTTGCCTCCTCCATTAAGTGAGCTCTCAGAGGTCACAGGCTCTGTATTTTTTTTTGCTTTTATACTGTATGGGGACGTGCTAATTTTACTTGCACAGCTGAATGTACAGTTCTCTGTCTCTTTTATCTTGTCATGTAGTTCTTCTTAACTTCTGATGTCTCCTAAAGTAAAGAACACATTGAGAGTACTATATTCTTTATTCTTCTGCATTCACCTCCTTTTGTTTCTGGTTTTGGCTTTCTTTCCTCTCCACCGTACTCGCGGTCATAACCTATCTCTCTTTTCTCTGTCTGCCCTTCTGGGGGACTGTGCCTTCACTGTTAATAAGGGAGATCATGTTTCTGGTTGCTATTAGCCCACTCAAGATTGCCCACACCGTAGTATGAAAACCACAGACACACACTTAGCTCTGTATTACCCACTTATTTTCCCTCTGTAGACAGTTTAGCAATAAACCAAAGGCACATCAACAGAAAGTCTAGGTTTATCTTTTAGCTGGAAATGTAAAAAAAAATGTCATGGAAGTGCAGACACGGATGCCCATCTTGTTCAACCAGACAGATGAAGCTTTGGTATATTGTACCTACACTGTATGTATTTAAGAACGGTCTTTGTCCTGTTTCTGAAATGACCTTCCATCTGTTTGTTTTGCTTCATGGGCAGAAAAAAATGTGCTAACAGCATCTTGACAAGGGAATCCCTCCTCACTATTGCAAAGATTAAAATGTACACTAGGGTGCCTTTAATAAACACATGCAGATAGTAGCTGATTAACCCACTTGCTGCTTTCCACTTTATGAAAAGATGCAATATAAAAAAGTTAAGCACCATCGAGTGGAGATGTTGGAGAGGGACAACTCAGTAATATCAAACTGTACCCTTGCATAAATGTGTTGGTGTAATCCTGCTCTATGTAAAAACCAGAAAGTTTGAGAGTGCGCAGTGGATGTGATCGACCTCTTTCAAAAGGTCTTAAGAGGAGAGTTTTTATAAGTGTTGTTTAATCTCTCTTTTCTCTCTCTCTCTCTCTCTCTCTCTCTCTCTCTCTCTCTCTCTCATTCATCATTGACGTCCCCCTGTAAGAGCCAGTGATGAACCCTCCACGCCGATCATCGAGTTCCCTCGGTGACAGGTAACTTCCTGAAGAACTTCCCTACATGTGTTACTGTGTGACAAGGTGGAAACGCATACAATAATTAGCCACAATATTTGAAAAAAACAGCTGCCTAATTTTGTGTAAATGCATATTGTTCTTTGAAATTGGTTTTTACCTGTAGTGTGCCTCCACTACTACTGCTCCATAGATTGCCTTATCAAAATGTAATGAAAGTGTTTGGGCAAAAGCTTTAAGTGTTGAGTTACCAGCTCATGGAGACTTGCTTCATTTGCAGGCTACATTCTGCTTCACTGAGTGAATGGGTTAAATGCAGAGAGGGATTTTCCCCACGGGGACCAATAAAGTACACTTTCTTCTTCTTCTTTTCTTCTCATAAATTTGATGGGATTTAAATACAGTCAGCCAAACAGAAAACTAGACAATTTATTACATAAAGCACCACCACAACCACAATAACCTTGAGCTCTAGTCCATGACTTGAATTAGCAGAGCAGAAGCCTTGGAGACAAGTGCTGACTACAGCTTCCATCCACCTGTTAGTTGCCATAAATTAAAGTTTTGTTCTAAAAAGTAAAATAATAAATGACAATAGGTGCAAGAGAAATGAAAAATGAAAAACATTTTACTTCAGCTAATTTATTTGCACCAATCTCATTTAATATCAGTGTGAGTCATTAGGCTACTGCATAGTGCTGACATTTAAAGCTGCATTAGTTACTTCTAGTTCCTCCTTTTCCTTGAAACATATTGCATGTGGAGCTGGTGAGAGAGAGCTGATGTGAAGTAGTATTAATCAAGGTAATGGCGTCATGTAGTATTACACGAAGTGTAATATACACTTCTCAGCAATTGTTGCAACAAACCATCATCCTTCTGGCTTCATTTCTAATGTCTGGATTTTAACTGTTGACATTCTGGTTGCAGTAGTTTTTAATTTGCCTGTCGTTTTATGTGACCAGGGAAATGTTTATTGGGGATGGACCAATAAGGCTGCAGCTGCAGCAATAATGTATATTGTAAAATGTAAATAGGTTGCATATTCATATGTCGTTCCCTTCCTCCTCTGGTGGGCCATTTTTTTTTTCTTTTTGAATAATGCATGTATGCATGTTTGTATGTTTCCTTTGTTTAATAATACAAGATGTTTGTGAAATAAGTCAGTGGCATCAAGTCACATGGTTTAGATTATTATCCATGTCAGGATTTAGGCTTAAAATAGGGTCTGTGTGCCCATTGCAAACCATTTCGGCTTAAGCTGTTTTCTCAGCTGTGTTAGCAGCACAAGAGCTTAATAGCTGGTCAAGAATCTTCATTGTCATTATCAGTGTGCTCAGTGTGTCATCCTCATAAATGCATGTCGTGTTTACTTGGGATTTCATGGAATGGATAATGGGCCTTTTCTGTTTGCTGTGGTTTCCTTTTTGTCCCATGTGAATAAATTGGCATGTGAGCATTACAGTAAAATGTTTGTCATTGTTCCCCCGAGCAACCACCTTTGTGATTGCAGACAAGTGCATTATACAACCATAACTTTCCTCACATATGTTTTAAAACTTTGTAATATGCTTTTTCAGTTAGAGCCAGCCTCTAGATTAACAGCGTCACGTACACTTTTGTTGTGTCTGTTCTCAGCTGAATACGTTGTTTTAAAATGTCACTGTTGTACTAGCAGACAGGTTGCTGAGCAGATTCTGCTGTCTTTCTCGTCATGCAGGCCATCCACTGAGACCGTGCAGAAAAACAACAGCAGCAACTCTGGTGTTATTCTGGACATCTCAGCTCTCAAGATGGCCGATGTGGATTCAGGGGTGCCTCCGCTCCCACCTCGTTACCGATTCAGGGACTTGCTGCTGGGGGACCAGACATTTCAGAATGATGACAGGTAGCACGAAAAGCTCTCTTTAAGTTTGTGTGTGTGACATGTGAGAGACTGCCCAGGAATATTGTGGATCTTTTTTGTACAATAACAACAACAGAGAACCTGAAATCTTGCAGTCTTTATTAAGAAGAAGTCTCTCCTAGAGTAAATGACAATAAATTGAGCAAACTGATACTACTTTGGCCAGAATTCTACTGAAATAAGAAAATCACATAAAATAGAATTAGCTGAAAATTCTACTTGTAACAGCTGTAACGAGATTTGTGTTTTTCAGGGTATAGCTGGATTAAGTATTTATTTATTTATTTATTTATTTATTTATTTATTTACCCTTGACTGGCGCTACAGTCACCAGAGTGCTGTAGTGTTTGGGAGTACAGTTATCGCTGCGGTTGGAGAGGCAGACCAACAGATGCTGTTTGCTACCCAAGAGGGGAAAAATTAGCCTCAGGCATGGCTGAGTGCTGTGGAGCTCTCCATGGTGCTGAAATGAAGGCATCTCACTAAAGGATCAGCAGTCCATTGTATACTGGCTTGCAAAGAGGAAACTGGCAGCCAAAGTTTTGTATGGTGGACTTACTTTTGATTTATCAGAGATTTGTGTGTTAAAATGAACTTTCACTATTTCAACTTGTGAGACTTTATATGAAGGCTTCCATAACGTTTTATCCTGAATGCACTGCGGCTCAGTGATGTTGAAGCTGTGTTCCTGCTGTAGGTGAATCCAGTTCCTAATCCAGTTCCCCGTTCTACACTATGGAGAAGTATGGAGACGACACCCCCCCCCACCCCCCCCCCACACTCAACACACACATGAATACATGTGCACTCGTTGATTGAGTGAGAAATGACACACACACACACACTGCTTTGTTATATTTCCTAGTTGAGAAGGGAAGTGATATTAGTTTTCTAGTTTTCACAGCTTTCCTGTTAAAAACAACAGGAAAAAGGAGCAGAACCATTGAAGCTTCCAAAAGACGTGTGGTTGTGTTCTCAGTATTTTGTTCTGTTGCATTTGATCCATTTGAGTTCGAGAAAAAGACTTATGAATACTGGTGGTTATAAGCAAAGACTAAAACCAGACGCTTTGCCTACAATGTTATCTCACAAGGTGTCCAAACACTCTCAGACAATGAGTGAAAATTGCTTAAAGAAACAGGAATGACAGGGGACTTAAGAAGCTTTTTTTGCTAGGCTACAGCAGATGCTGTATCTGAAAACACACTAAATGGCATGACCCTAGTGGTATCTGGAGGTATCTGACATTCTGCCAGTTCATACTGCAGTTGCCTGGACAAATCAGATGGAGCTGAAGGTGGCAATCACATCTAGCCGGCAATTATGGACAGTGTTTACGTGGGTGAACATGACCTCTCATGGTGTATTCACATAATAAAAATGTGCACCCCTAACATCCAACAAAAGGCAGAGGAGGAGGAGGAGTACAACTGATAGCTTAAATCAGAAACATTTTTTCAGAACTTACCATTAAGTCCTATAATTTCACTCACTTCTCTCAAAGCCCACTCCTTTTCTCCCTATCCTTGTCTAGAAGTGCAGTTGAATCAGACAGCTCCAGCTGCCCACAAACACAGTCAATAAATTAGTTCTCAATTTCTCATTGTCAGCATCAGGATAATCCCAGCTCTAAGGGACATACTGAGAAGCAATTTATATTCCAAAGTTAAAATATTGTAATTCCTGCAAGATGCTGATTTCCCTTGATTTGTATATCAGTTTGCTTTGCTGCATAAACTCTGTCTGAAATCTGGCCACAAAGAAACTTTGCTTTGCTTGGTGTAATCACAGCATAACAACTGTTGACAGAAAACAAAGCTCTCCCTATCAATGTAGAGGGGCAGTTGCTGCGCAGATATTGATTTTGATTAACACTTCATTTTGAGTAATGCCCATTATATTTTCCTCTTCACTTACATTATGCTCTGGTTCAAAGTAAAAAGATAGATGTTTATCTTGCCCTAAGGTCCAAAGACTTGGACAGTTTGTCACTAGAGAGTCTGTGCTGCTATTTAAATGAAGTAAAGTTACAATGTGTTTTTTGTTTTTTTGTCAGTACTGTTTGATTTCTGAGGTTTATACGATTTCAATAACTGATGTTTGCTCACAATGAGCCAGACCAAGTCTTAATTAATGAATTGGAATAGATAACTTGCAAATGCTTTGGTATACCACTACCTATCAGTTTATTTCTTTGTTCATCTGCCTAATGTCACTGGGGATCCTATCAGTTAAACGCCATCACTATGTTTTTAGAGAGAAATGCAAGGCATGTGTCTACAGATAACATTTAGAGCAGCAGAAAAATACACAATCCCCACCCCCACAACCCACCCCCCACTACACGCACACATGTTTATTGTTCCTGTGTGCTTTCCCAGAGTGCGCAGAGGTTTCCCTTTTACTGCATTAGCCATTTAATGTTGACAAACAAGTGGTTTAAGTGAAAGTGAGATAATGCAGAACTTGTGTGTAATATATCTCGCTGTATGTTTAACAATGGAAATGCATGGAAAATATACATGGCAATATAGTCATTAGGTAACATATCTCTTATCTTTCGTCCCGTATGGGTTCTGTGTCATGTATCTTAAGACTGTTCCCCTGCAAATGAATGTTTTGCTGAACATTATTGAATTGCAGAAGGTAATTAGAGCTTGTTGCTTAGCTACCAGCACATGTATGCCTTAGTGTGTGTGTACATATGCATGCACATTCTTGGTGTTTCCACAGAGCCACGTAATTCACAAATCCTGCCAAGAAAAACAGAGGATAACCAAATCCAAACAACAGCTGTAAAACACATAGATACACATGTACATATACACAGGAAATCAATAGGAAAAGCACCAAAAAGTACACTGCTATTGATACTGTCTTATGCCAGTGCAGAGTAATCCCTATTTTCTGATCTCTGGAGTGGAAATTCAAACAGATGATGTCACTGGGCCTTGGGGACACGCTTTTTCTAGCTTGATGATCTTCTGCATGCTCATGGGTTGAGATGTTGACTATTTCCTGTGCTGAACCTTTGTGAAGTCTGAAGCCTGAAAACAAATTACCTCCCAGAGGGAGGAATCGGCACCTTGCTGCCCTGATGACCTTCTGTATCTGTTTTTCTTTCATTTGTCATGATGTGCTTTTAGAGTTAAAGGCAGTGGGTTGCAGAGATAACGCACCAAATATAGATACATCACAAAGGGAGTCCACCAAGGCACCGGGTTATCAGAAGCACATAAAGGGGAGGGGGCAGTTTGTTGCAAAGTGAATGAAATATTAATAAAATAATGGCGATAAGGCCATTCACTGCTTATGGCCTTATCGCCAAAAACAAAACATATTAGTAATCTGTTTCGTTTTTGTGTTATCTTCTACAGTGATTACTATCTTGCAAACCATTCTAAGAGTTTTAATCCACAAAAATGGCTTTTTGGTTAGACGGTGTTCTCTCATGCATGTAGAGTTATTGCTACTCACTTTAATTGGCATAATTTAGATGAGATTGCTCAACTTGCTCATGTTTACTGGAACCTGCTTTGTTGTAGTCGTGTTTTAGATTTGCAAAGGACTGGGGGGAGACAAAAGCCAGATACTAAAACCGTACTTTTTTTGTGCCTGGATGTGAACTCATTTATTGTGGAGAAGTGCCCGAGTGTCACTGTGAATGTATTCTTTGGTGTTTTTCTGTTTGTACGCAAATGCAAATTGTTCAATGTGCGACGGTACAACAGTATTAAGCCCTTCTGTGCTGTCTATGTAAGTGTTTCCCTTTATTTCCACTCATCTCTGTGTCTGTAGTGTGGATGTGGGCGTACAGTGTAGATGCCTGTGTGGGGAGGAGGGGGGTAATCTCCCTCCTGGGCTGTCATTATCTCCAGGGTTGGGTTTCAGAGGGCCATAATGACGACTTGGTTGTGTGGGCGCTGAAGAGCAGCATTCACACTGAAGTCGAGCAATTTGTGTGTGTGTGTGTGTGTGCATGCACTAAACAGGTGTTCGTGTATGTGCCCTGAGTGTGGGCACGCTGGTGTATGGACCTGTCAATGTCTGATTATATATCTGAGTGTGTGTATGTGGGTTTATTCCTCAGTCTGTCAGCCAGCTAACCTCAATCAAAGTCAGAAATGGAAACAGCCCACCAAATTCATGTACAAATGCCAATAGAGTTAAAAACAGAGCAGAAGAAAATTAGTTGAATCTGTCTTATCTCTGTGGTCTTTTTTGTGTTTTTGTGTTTTTTTTTCTTCTGGCCTCTTATCAAGGCAGGGTCCCCTGGGTGTGAAGCTGACAGGGTGAGTGTTAATCGGTCACCTTATCAACTCGACACATCCTTGTGAGTCAAATAGAGCCACTTGCAGTAGTGATCTAATACTGACTTGTGATCTGCTGTCAAGGAACAGCTGGTCTCAGATTAGACTCATTCATTCATATTGCCATTTATAATTCTGAATTATTTCATAAACCTCAGTTGTTAGATTTTTCCAAGACACCAGGCTGTATGTTTCTGGTCAATCAAAAATGTCATGTTTTGTGAAGTGGAGTTGGACACACTTTGACTCAACATGGTTTTGTTTTGACCATATAAATACTGCAAAAGCAAACTCCATGCAGAATTACACATCCTGAGACAATAATTGTGCACTGATACTGGCAGCAGCTGTTTGTTTGCACTGATTCTGTGGCAGAAGTGGCTATTGGGATTTGATGCCTGAATGATTTCAATCGGACCGAGTTTAGGAGGAGGATAAGATACAGAACAAAGCGAAAGGGGAATATGATGAGCAGAAGGAGCACAAAAACTCAAAGGAAGGGAACATGTTGGAACGAGTAAATGGGATGGAGGAAAGAAGAAAGACAAAGGACCAGAGGGAAAGTGATGAGTGAAACTGTAAAGATGAGGATGGATTGGTCCAGCTAGATATAATCAGATAATACCAGGTGCAACGTGCACACAATGATGCCTTTTGTTAGTGAACAACTTGAATGCCATTTAAATGCATGCAGCAAATTCATTTCATCATATATAGGGGGCAGAAATGGAAAAACTTGTCCTTATACTGATGTCTTTATACATTTGTCACTTATTATCTTATGTAACAAGCACACACAGAGACGTTTTTGTCGTACATTTACATTTGATGCAAAGTTACTGATGTTGACTTTTTCTTTCAAATAAAACGGCTAATGCTTTATGCTTAATGTTTGCAAATAATTATGACTTATTTTTTAAAGAAGCCAAACAGAAAGTGATATATGGTTATATTTGACTTGATCTAGCTATACCCTGAAAAACACAAATCTAGTCACAACTTTTACAAGCAAACCCTAAGTGAAGTACCATCTGTAGGTCTACTAGAAGATGTGAATGCAGCATTGCAGACAATCCTTACTGTGACCATCAATGAAACCAACCAGCTGATCTACACCACAGTGCCTGTGATTTCTGAGATGCTTGGCTATAAGATGAACAGCCAGTAGATAAGATGAACAGTGCCGTCCATGGAGAAAGAGACTAGAGGCCAAGATCAAGATAGCACGGAGGGATGTTAGCCAACTATCGGAGCTGCAGAAAAGTGCGATAAAGAAACACCAAGCTGCCCGTTACCTGAAGACTGCCAGACAAAGACTCACAGCTTTCACCAGCTGGTTGAAGAGGTTTACTAGAGAGGTAAGAGAAGTGTACTCTCAGTGGAAGGGGAATAATATGAGAACAGCCCCGCCAATGCTGGACAAGGAGCAATAATGGTTGCGGATATGGAAGAAGGACAGCAATGCTTAGTGTCTAGTAGACTCCCAGAAGGGACCCATTCAACTACCGGCCGCTATAACCTGCCTTACTATCACATGGAAGTTCCTGTCAGGCATCATAGCGGCTAAGAAGAACAGGCACATGGCTCAATACATTAGCTGGGCACAAAAAGGAATTAGCAGTGTACCAGAGCGGGAAAACACCAGCTATTTGTAGACAGAGCTGTTGCCCAAGACTGCAAGATCAAGCTCACCAACCTGTGCACTGCCTGATTAAATACAAGAAAGCCTATGACTCAATGCCTCAAACATGGATCCTGGAAAGCCTAGTATATAAGATCAACAGGACCCTAAGAGCTTTTATTTGTTTACATGTGTATATTAAACAAAATACATTTTTGTACTTTGCATTCCTCTCCAGGACATATACCAAGATTTGTTGATTGGTCTTTGCATAAAAAACTCATGTAGTACCTATAGCTACAGGCAAGGACATAAAATGCAGCTGTACAATATGTGGGTGATGATAAACAAGTCTAATTATTCACTGCAGGAGCCTCTATACACTGACTGTAGCTTGAATAATTGAAGAATGAGGGAACAAAGTCTGGACTTTTTAGGATCCTTGGATATTCGGTCATCACGTTGTAACCGCAGTGATAAAAAAATAAGTTACTTCATAGTATAATAGTATAAATAAAATTAGTATAAATTAGTATACATTAAATGTAATGTCACAGAATATCACCATGTGACTCATTTATTCACTAAATATATTCCTTAACTCTTCTGACATGTAACTCTGTAGTTGAATCATGTATACATCACCTACTTTGTCTCAAGTGTGTTTACAATTCCTTTAGTCTGGTCTGTTTATTGGTTTTCTGTCTTAAATCTCAGCATTTCAGTAATAGTGTTCTATAAACGTTTCCTTCTTGAACATTTCCAGGGGTACTCACTGGTTTCTGCCACCACAAAGTGTTTATGACTACAGTGACCTGATTCAAACTGCTGTATGTATGTCAAAACACTGTATCTCTCATTTCCTCCACTAGTTTTTCATTTGATTATATGATTATATGTAGCTAATAAGCAGTTACATATAGCAGCATTTTCCAAATTTTTGTTGATAGCAACAAATGACAGCTGTCGTTTCATTTGCTGTGGCAAGCATTGTAATTAAGCTATCGCCTGTTTGTGTCCCTAGTTTCCATGCTGTCCAAATTATTAGTATGTAATGATAAAGGAGAAACGGCAACTTGAATACCATGAGACATTTTGCATCGCCAATTTCGACCTGATGACTTCCAGACGTCATCTCACTTAAAAGTCTGATGTGCTTCAAAATGTGTGTGTGTGTGTGTGTTGTTACTGGTGACATGTGCATTTCCGCTTAGCAAACAGAGCTTGAAATTAAGACCATAGGTGGCATTAGTCATCGCAATCAGCGCAGAGTGGGTAGGCGACACTTAAGGACGGCAGACTTGTTCTCATTAGCTGCGGAGTGGCTGTGTTTTTCTTGACATGCTGTGAGTTTAAGAGTTGTTGTTATTGTCACAATGAAGTGCAGGACCCAAGCATGTTGTCCAATTTCTGTCTATTTTGAGACAAGTTTCTCTAAGGATTTGTTCAGCCAGTGAGCGGAAATGGTGGAAATGAGTCTGTCGAAGCGTTGCATTGCTAAAAAGCCCAATTTGTAGGGAGCTCTGTTTCGACGATTTCTAGCCAGATTTATTTCCCATCAGCGCAGTGGAGGTATTAGTGAAAATGACACGACCTGCTTAAGCAGAAAGGAATGAGCATGCAGCTCTCATAAAAGGTTTTATTAGTCTTTATATGAAATCATTTGGAACATCACAGTGTCTGAGTGCATAGTCTCAGAGGGATAGCTCAAGTGGGACGTGCAATTAGAGAAAGACTGCAAAGGGAGAATTATTGAAGGTGGTGCTTGAGAAGAATTAAGATTTCATTTACCCCCTCAGAATTTGTTTCTCTTCTGGGCCACTGCATCTTTGAGCCTTGAAATCTCTGGTGCATTTGCCATTTAGCTCTCGTGCTTTGTCTTGCCAACTTAATTAGCATCAGTGGACTTGGCTTGTCAGACTTTAATAAGCAAAAGCAATGATGGAAGTACTTGGTTGAGCTTGTAAACATAGACCAGGGAGCTCCGGTATTGAGGATGCAAGTACAGCTCCACATAGTGGATTATTTAGCAATGGCCAACCACATTTCTACCCACTAGTTCAAAGGGTCTAGCAAAACTGCAAAACCTAAATACTAAAACTGGCTTTGAATTTGAAAGCGTTCCCATGTTTTTCTTAAATGTTACAACAACTGCTTTTTGCCTTGAGTATAATAAGCTTTAACACTAATTATCACTTATAAATTTATCTTAAGTTGCTGTTGTATAGCTGTGTTGTAGGGTGATTTCATGTGTGCTGCTGTGATTATCTGGTTCTCCTGCCTAAAGGCAATCAGGTAAATGTTTTATAATCAATAAAGCTGCTGTGGTTCACTGATCATGAATGTGCAGCAGTATTTTAGGAAAGAGCCCAGTGGCAGTCCTTTCAAGTAATTCATCTGCCTGCCAATCACCTGATGACTTTTTCATCTCCTGTCTACAGCACCTCACATCATAGCATTATAGCAATTTTCTCTGTTCCTTTATATTCAGTCTGTCCTGGATTCACTTTCCTGTCTTGTACATGAGTGTTAATGTAGCAGCCTTGCTTGCTCATGAGCAGACATGTGCTGTGTTAGTAAACTGTTGACATAGAAGTTCTGTGGTATAAGCTTCTGAAATCTGCAATTGATGTGTGATGGTCTTAAAGGCTAAATAAGATAAAGTGGTGCACTTTCTTGTTTTAACAGATTTTCTTTTTCAAACTGTGCAAACTATTAACTAAACTGTGTGTTAATTTAAATGCATCATTAAAGTTCTTTATGCTTGTATGTTCCTTCAGGTTGTTTACACTGAGTGATCAGTACTATATAGGCTGAACAGTAATTTTATTGTAAGTGAAATGAAAATTGCAGGTATGTTTTTGAATTATTACATGATTCAGCTGTTCATTTAGTAAACGAGTATCTAGGTAAACTAACTGGAGTATATAGTGGATGCTTTCATGTAAGGCAAATGAAGAGAGCCGTGCCACTCATTTTTGGTACAGCGTCATGCTGGGAGCAGCTGTTTTATTCATGAAACTGTCGATTTGTTTGCCATTAATGTGCCTTAACGAAAGTGCCAGAAAAGGTTTCAAACGTATTTGTATCGGGGGAAAAATATTCAGGAGTTTACCGAGATGGTTGTGGTGGAAATACATGTTGCACAAACTGAAGTAGTGTTTCTTATTACTTTAGCGAGTTTTCTCTGTTCATAAATAACTTAACAGCTCAACTGACATTTTGAAGAGTTGATGGCGTGTTTCTTCTAATTATTATTATTATGGATGAATCAAGCGCTCTGGCATACTCATTCTACTAAAGTAAAGTTCCACAGTCATCTTCATTTTTGGAAGAGAACATAAGGTTATGACTGATAAATGGTTGTTGAACCTTTTCCGCACCAAACAGCCTCTGGCAAGTTTGCAGTTAGCAAGCAGTAGGATCCCCGTTTGCAGTGCTCAGATGCATGTGTACACTCTTGTGTGTAAGCCTGCCAGTGGAATTGGCTAGACTTCTTCCTCCTCTTTGGCTATACTGAGCACAGGGAGACAGCTCACCCACAGCAGTGCTAGCTCACTGCGTTAATATGTTTTGACAGAGGAAGCATTATCACAGCTCTCAACTCTCATCTGCAGCACGAAGCACGATGCTGAGGCGACCCCAGTGATCACGGAGATTTAAAGGGAGACTTATTAGGCCCACCAGCAGCTTTGGTTCAGTCTAACAAGCTTTTACCACTTTCAAAACATTAAGTGCAAATAAATGTTGCTGTCAGGTGACTGCTTTAAAAAAAAAAAAAAAATCCCACTATATGAGTGTCCATTTCTAAACAAATAAATTAGCTGCTGTTGTGCATCCAGCTATACAGCTCAACAGTGACAGCAATAGCACTATGGCGCAGCATGATGTTGCATACATCAGCTCTGCCCCCAAAACCCTGTTTCTTTTTTAAAAGAAATGTCTTTTTCCTTTCATCTTCGCAGCTGGAAGTTACTCATCTTGCATAATTGTGTTTAGTTCTTCTGCCAAGCATTTCTAAGTGGAAGGCTGTGCCAGCTATAGTCAACCAGCAGGCTTCACTCCTCTCTTAACATGTTTGTTATATCCCTGCATTGTGCTACCCACTAATGTAATTAATGCAAATATCCAGTGTGAACAATGGCACTTGTTCGACTAATCACGCTGCATTAAGTTCTTAGCTTACTCTTGCATTTGTATATTTTAGATTTGCTTTTCTGGACTTCTTTTGTGCTTCATTAAATCTCGTTTTTAACCCTGAGTTGGGTCTGGGCTTCACCTGAAGTAACTGCAAGGGTTGAACAGCTCGTTCAAAGATGTTCGTTACTGCAGCCTCACATGAGATAAAACCCAGGACTATACTGCCATCTGTGTGGTTAGATATACTGTAAAATATCAGCTACACTGTCTGCAATCCTCTATTTCACCACTAAGTGTCTCTGTGCTCAAATCTGTACATTTCTTCCTGCTACTCATGAACTCATTTAGAATCCACTGTCTGGTTTTATGCTTTTCTCTTTCCATTAACTGTCATTTTATGCTTCGGACTGTTTCCTTATGGTCAGCTATTACCTTTCCAGCACTTTGGATCACGAACACAGTCTTGGCGAGAGTATGTGTCACATGATACAACATGATTCATTTATCAGTTTACAGTTTGAAATGCAGCACCGCGCTGCTTGACAAATATTTATACAGAGATAAATGACTTTAGTACACGGAGACAGCATTATTGTCTATGATTTTACGAGTATGCACACATTGATTTTTAGAGAACATGAGCTACTGGGTACTGGGTAATATCAACAAGTGTTCCTCGAATTTTATTGACCCTGTTTCCCACTAAAGCTTGGTAAAATGCAATAAAGTATAAGACTACTGTAAACTGCAGCCTTCAAAATAGAGTTTAATCAGCATGTTTTTAGAACAGTGCAATATGAAAAAGAACATAAACTAATCCAGCGATCAATCCTACCTTTGGAAAAAGGGCTGTTGTAAAAGGTTGGTTTCATTTGTACTTAAATCCAAACTGACTGTATGCTATAGTTACAGATGGGATTGTTAAGGTAGTTCACACTTAGATCTCTTTGTACTTGTTCCCACTAAAACTGAAGACGTAACCGTTCAGTCATCCACAAGCCAGCCTCTCTAATCCCCAGGGTACTTTAAGCAGATAATTTAAAATGTTTCCTGCAGGTTGAACTGAGATCAGCATCTGCATCACAAATGGAGTGTGTAATGTGTTTTGTAAATGCATTACCAATGGGAGTTCAGCATGTATGGCTGCTTTGGCTAAATTAGGAATAAACCACACTGTAAACACATAACCAACAATAGGTCTGTGAGCTTGTAATCATGAACAGAAGATGAGGAATGTAACTGATTTTGAGTAACTATTCTAGATTAATGCCTAAAGAATCTTTTCAGTGAGCAAGACAGTTTTTATTAGATGACATAAATTTGAATTATAAATAAAATGTGAAAAATCTGGCAATCAGACTTGGGTTTTTGATGACAACATCCATATTGTACAGAGTTTAAATATATTTGCAAGGCTACTTACCTGTTTTTACCTGTCCTGTTTTAGTCTAAAGGCCTCTTTTGAGGTGACTACCAATGAAGTTAGTTTTTGTATACATCGCTTTGTATCAGCTGTGGTTGTTTAAGAAGTGTTTTACAAGTAAAATTGGTATGGTGTGGTATGGAAATTCAGGATAAAGTTATTGAGCAGATAAATCAAAAGAGGTAAACTGTTGCAGAATACCTTCACATCTTTAATCCCTGGTTCAGTATGTGTTAAGCAGTTTACATACAAAATGATCAGTGGCTGCAACGTTGGTTTCCCTTTGAATGACTTAATATGTACATTATGGGTCCTTTATCTCTGACTAACCGAGACTAGAGCCCTCCTTCCGTTACAAGACTTGACAAAAACCCAAAGGACATATAATTCGGTGTTAAATTCATGTTTACATGTTGAGTTTTATTCTAACAGTTCAGGCTTCTTAAAAACACTTTTTAATTAATATTTTTCTTTAAAAAATGACTTCGTAAAATCAATTCCTATTTTTTTTGTCATTTACAACTTTAAACTCTGGTGGTTTCTTTTTCATCACCTGCACACTCTCACACTAATATCATGTCAACTCCAGGTGTCCCGTGTTCCCATGCAAACCAGCACGATCATGCCTGAAGTGTTTGCCTATCCACCTGCTCATTTGTATGTGGTTTTTCGTTACTCGTATCTGCAGCTACTGAAAGGATAGCACTTCTAGAGCTTCCAGTGAAGTTGAGATGAGGACAGCTTGATTTATTTTCAGCACTATTTTTAATCATTAAAACTGTTTCAATAAGGTGTAGGCGCATCTAAATCTTCAGCTCGTTTTAGCTGACTGGACGATTTACTGCGGGACAGGACTGAAGAAGAATGAAGGGCACGTTGGCCTGATCAAAAGTAATCGGCGGTCATTAAATTTGAGCATCTTGGTTATGTAACATGCTGGGAAGCCCGGTTGGTCGAGCTCTTGACGCTACACCGTGACGACGTGAGGATCTCTTATCTCCATCAGGGATGGAGGTAGATTCGATTAACAGGAGACAAGTTCATGCTTCCCTCGGTGTGTCTGAGGACCCCGTGATGCGACAGGGAGAGAGACAGTCTTCGTCCTCCTTCGTGCACCACCAGTGAGACCGGGATGCGGTTTTCCGGCGGTGTCGGTCGCTAACTGAGCCCATTTTGACACCAGGAGGAAAAAAACATATTGGCCGTTCTCTGCTGGAGGTAACACTCGGGAAGCATGGCAGGCGCAAAGCTGACGCCCTCTCCCTCGGAGATCGACCCAGACGTCAAGACCGATGTGCAGAAAACACCAGAGCCCACCTGGGTCAATCCCTCCAACCCTCTCCGGACCATCGGCTCTTTGGGGAGCGATGTCGACCAAAGGTAGCTGCCGCAGATCCGCACCAAAGGCGCATGTTTCTAAATGCAGCTCGCTTGCACACACGCAGCATCCTCACGGTAATACGGTGTTGCAAGCGACCGGCACATCAAGTCTTCCTAATAACTTGGCTGGTAATTAACAGTAGTCGTAATCAATATTTCATTACCATTAAAGCTGTCCGCCTGTAAACTGACATTTCCCACAAATTTACAGCGTAGTGTGGGAACTACGGTAGTTACGCATCGGGTCCTACAGGCTATATTTTCCCATTGGGATTAAACATTAAGGCAACCAGTACGACTCTTTGAGTCACTTTCACGACAGATGGCTGAATGATCGCAAACATTTCTGTCGTGAGTCATTTTGCTCCAGGCATCAATGGGATTCATTTAATGACTGCAGTGTATGGGATTACATAATTCAGTGGATGCTGCATTCCCATTACAATTTTATGAATCTGAGAGTTTTTGTGGGGTAGAAGTAGTCTTTTGCAGGTTGCATGAGCTAAGTTTTTTTTAATATTATTAATGCATATATATTAGATTGATAGATGAAATAAAAATGCAAACCACAGGAGAGCTCCTCACATACCCCCTCCCTATATAAAAATACTACATGTTATTTCACAATGTGCGGGCACCAGTCCATAAAATCTGCTTTTACTCTGCTACAATTTGATAGTCAAATTAGATGTGGTTCCTGTAACAACTGAGGGATGCATTTTTTTTTTCTTTCAGAGACAAAAGAACTCAAGAGCTGCAGAAATGCTGCTGTTCAAGCTAATATTTGCACTGTTATCTGCAGGTTATGAGGTTGGGTTGACTGAAAACAGAGTGTGCTTATTTGGCTGTGCTTCAGAAACTACTGCACAGCCAGTATGCTGGTGGTGCAGTGTGCCCTGTCTCTCAATATTTATAGCACATATTTTTCTTCTCACTTTTTATGTGAAATACTGATATTTATCTGCATGTTTGATCAGATCTGCTGGGATTTAATCTGTTCTGAATGATGGAACATTTGCTGTTGGTTGTGATTTTAATATCCATATTGAGGCTACAAAAGCAACAGAGTGGCATGGGAAATAGCTAAACAATGTGATTACAGGAAGAATGTCAAATGCAGCACTTTTGGATCAAAAAATCATAATCCTAAAATAATTGGCTACATTGTTTATTAGAAACTTTAATAAAAACAAAAAAAACCAAAACCTTTAATTAAATATCGAGGATAGATTAGAAACATTCAGTTTTTACCACAGAATCCACCCTTCACTTTCTCAGCTAAAACCATACACACACCTCTGCAAAGCTGCCTCAACTTTAGCTACTGGATTTTGGATGACAGATCTGGAAGGATGTCAGAGTTTGTTACAGAGTTGGCAGAGATGTCTAAAGCCCTGAGAATTCAGGTGGACATAAATCAGAGTTGAGGCTTGAGCTATCACTAAATGGGAGCCATCTATCGATTCCGTTCAGTTCCAATTATTCATATAGTCCATACTGGTTTCTCAAGAACTTTACCTTGCAAAGTAAAGCTCTCACAACATCACAGGGACAAACCCAGTGTTTCATATTGATTTTTGTCTTCAGTCTTCCTTTTTTCAGTGTTTTTTGTCAAGCTTTATTAGCTGTCAAATCCTAACCGTTATGTTCAAACGGATGTTCAGTGTGGTGAACATGACAGTAGAGCAGATAACAAAACATGTCTACTAAAAATTGCAATTACAGCTGTGATCAAGACAATGAAGACAGAGGTTTAAAGTCCTATATATGCAAATAGGTGAGCTCAGTCATCAGTGCTACCAAAAAAAATAGGAGAAATATACACTAATGAAAACATTATTCAGAGATGACACATCAGTACTTGTGATGATGATGATACTGGCAAAGACAGTGAATAATTAGCCAAAATTATAATGTGTGATTTTGACACTGAGGGAGGAGATGAAGCTTTTGAAGTTACTGGTGTCCTGTAGGTGGATATAGTCAAAGTGACAGTTCAGATCCGTAAGAGCAATTAAAACCCAACAAAAGCCAGTAAGTCTGTTGGCAGCTGAACACTGTAAGAATAGGTTTAGAGACACTGAACAATATTGACTATTGCTTTATTGCCATCCAAGACTGTTTAAAGGGTTGTCTAGTACACTATCTACAAACGGGTTGGCTGTAAAACCTAATGCATTAATTGGCCAGTTGCCCTGAGCGCGGTCCATCTCCTTTGTTTACAAGGTAGCGAGTTTTGTTGACAAGGGCTTATATCTTAATTGAGGACATAAATTAATAAAAGTTGGCCTTCATTTTCATCCAATCATTACATGACCAGATTTTTGCAGAGATAAAAAAAAAAGTGTATTAATTTATCCAAGTCACTTGCAGGGTGATGTCTGTAATCTGAGAGCTTTCTGGGTTGTGAAATGTGGTCAGCGGGGATTTCTGTCCAGCGGGCGATTTCTGTCCAGCTGGCTCAGGAATGAAAGGATGTGGAGAGAGTAAAAGAATCAATAATCTGGTCCATCGTATAGCACGGTCTATAGGGAATTCATCTATTTTGACATAATTTACAACACCTCTATGTTTGTTTATATCGATTCTCTGGCCGTTATTGACATCTTAATATTGCAGGCAGTGAGAGACTAATTAAGTCTTGGAGGATTTTCAGTAACAGAGAGAGAAGGATCATCTTTTAAATGCAGGAATTTGTCAGAACTGATAAACACATGCAGATTTATTTTGGCTTCGTCCATCTTCTCCACCACTTTGTCCTCGCAGTGAAAAATGTGTTTGCAAATCGAGCATTTGGTCTGCCTTGCTGAGGCACTATTATTCACTGTATATTCTCACTAAGAATGGACCAGGATATTGCAAAGGATGATTTGAATTTTTTAGGTCAGCTGCGTAAGAACTTGATAAAAGGCAGAGTGACTGATGTGCAGCGTAGGCTTTATCCCATTTGACATTTCAGCAACGCAGAGCCTTCCACGAAGCTCACGTCTGTCAGTCCAGAGTGCTTCTGCTTTTTTAGCCAAGTTAGCAAACTACTTGTGTACTTGTATCCTTGTACACTTAATATTACCTCTTCAGTATTAAAGCATCAAAGTTGACTTTAAATTATTAAATTTGTGCAAAAATGCTGGGCAAGTAGAAGGTCGTTGGTTCAGTTACAGTCAAACAAACAAATCACCATTGGTGTTTTGTCAGGGAGGACAACCAGGCTAAATCAAAAATGCAGAGCTAGCTGCTGTGCTGACCCCGTCTGGCAGGTGAGTAGCCGAAAGTAGCTTTTATAGTAGGATTAAGTAGAAAACTCAATACGGCCACAAAACTGCTGTTCGATTAGACCCAATAATCCCAAAGATATAAAAGGGACAAATTCCACAGTATATATGTAATATGTGATAAGGTTTGTCTTTGTGATGTTTATTATTGCATCAGCAGAGATATTATAGGTAATAATTCTTTACTGTACCTGCTCTAAGTAGTAACTTATGCTAAGTAATATTTGACACTGTTGCAAAGCATATAACCTCCCTTCATTCATTTTGTTACTCCAGTTTTCAAGATTTAAAGTGGAAGAATAGTATATATTATATACCAGAATGATACTTTTGCTGTTAGCTTTTTCTGTGAATACAGACAGAAAATGTGATGAGGGAGCAGGGGAATAACATTAGGTAAAGGTAATGGGAGTTGACTTGGGGAAGGTGCGACTAAGGGCATTTTGACCATTTAGTATCTTTACCATCTAAACTTCAGTCTAGGATTACTGTATGAAATGGAGATGCTGCAGTGTGAGTCTCTTGAGTTGCTTCTGGGATGTGTGGAGAACAGTATGGCAAGCTACCAGACTGAAAACTACACTTCCCATTTGCCTTTGTAATTTCTGCAGTCATAAAGTATAAGTGCATGAAGCCCTCCCACATTATCTCTGTAGCTCTCACAGCTGAATGTTACTGGAAAACATACGTTGAAAGTGCTGGTCATGTTGCACATAACTCAGTACCTCCGCTCACACCTTCGCTCCAGATCTGCTCCAAAGAGGTGAGAATCAAGTTGTTCTTTACTGTAATTATTTGATCTTAAGTATACTAAGGCATGACGTTAATGACATAATCTAATAACGTCTGAATTATAATTGAAAACGGGACAGATTAGACTCTGCATCCAGTGTATCTGTTGTAAGCTAGTCTCCATTCATTTTAGCCTCTAAATTGTTTAAGCTCTTAGTAGCCAGATAGCATCTTTATTGACCAGTAAAGTGCTGTGAAATATCCACCAAATCACTAGCGGGATCACAGCAGAGCAGTGATGGTCCTGTTTTTATGTACATTATCTCTTGTATAAGCCAACTAATCATTTGCTCATTGGTTTAACTCTGAATTAACATCTCAAACTGCTGAAATGTAGTAATAAGCAATGATAATATACTAATAAAACTGTTAGAAAATTAGTAAAGTGTTGCATTGCAAACCTGGTTCAGTGTGTTTCGTATGGTTCAGAAATTTCCCAAAAATGTCCAGCAGTCCACTTTTTTTTTTTTTATCTTAAAGTTCTGTGTGTGCTAAATTCTCAAAGTGAATTTACTGAATTGAATCTGTCTTTCAGAAGTGGAAAATGTGATGTTATTAATCATTTAAGGTTGTAGAAATGTTTTTAACATCATTCTAGATTACTTGAAGAAAGAATTGCTTGGTTTCAGGTAGGGCTGCACGATTTTGCGTAAAATGAGAATCACGATTTTTTTGCTTAGAATTGAGGTCACAATTCTCTCACGATTTTCTTTTCCAGTATAAATATTTATTGCACTTATTAACTGCACATCAACTTCAGGTGAGACTGAACATAAAAACAATAAATAAACATAAAAACAACAAATGTCTCACGTTTTGTTGTTGCCGCAAAATGTTGTACTGCTTGAAATTCCGTCTCCACTGTTGCTCGACACTGCGTGTATAGAGCAGGTAGTGCAACAATAGAAAAATAGTTGCGGGACGGCACTGTGTAGCGTTTGTCTAGGGTGTTGATCATTTTCCTAAATCCCTCGTTTTGCACAGTGTTGATGGGAGCCATATCTTTGGTCAGGTGATAAGTGATAGCCTCTGTAAGTTCTTTGTGCCTGCGGGAGTTCGACGGGTATAGGGAAGCGCTGTATAAGGTTCCCGTTATTGATGTTTGGGTGGTTGACGGGGACAGATTTTCTCCTGTCACTTTCTCGTCATCCCCTACGTGCTCTCCGTTGTTTTTTTCCCTGCCAATTTTAGCAGCCAGCTTCTGTATCACGTGGTATAAGGCTCCGCCCTTGTCATTTGTTGAGCAGGAAGAGTGAGCGCTTGTTTTCATGCAGATTACGTCCCGGATCAAAATGCGGTACAATCGCCGTCTTATTTTTTATTTTTATTTTTTAAATCGTTGTCATTTGGAAATGAGATCGCACATAAGTATGAATTGAGATCGCGATTTTCTAACGATTAATCGTGCAGCCCTAGTTTCAGGATATTGAGCCATTAGAAGAAAGTTGCAGATAAATGAGTGTACATGGACACTGATCTTTGGAAATTAGAATGAAACCCATTTTCACTGGCATGTTGGAAGTGAGAGCCATTGTTGAGATGGTAAAACGTGCTTGATTAATTACTGAAATGGCAAAGTCCTCCCTTGTGACCTCTCTATTTCCTGAGTGGAATGGACAGTCCATTAGTCCATTTAGAGTTTTGACAATCTTCTCAACGCAAACCTCTCAGCTCTGCAGTCTTTATTTTCAACACATATTCCTCCACCACCTCTTTTTTTTATAGGTTTGACTGATATAAAGACCTTGTTCATGTAGAGATTTCAAAGACAATTCAACCCACCCTTTGTCCATTCACTTTTCCCCAAAATTGATATGGAATATTTTTAAATATACTCCAGACACTGAAGCAGCTTACTTACTAGATTAACAGTAAATTCAATTTTTTTTTGAGTTTTTGGGGGTTATTGGGATATTTTCATAGGTCATAGTGAATACTTAAGGGTGGAGTGGGGGCAGCTGAACATGTGGTGTTACCTGACTGAATATAGTATACATATAGTATGTATACATACCGTTTACAAGAGTTAAAGGAAAGGGCTGTGCTGTGATTTCTTCTATATTTACTTTTACCTCAAGTTCATAAGTACGAAGACAGAATATCACATTTATTTTTCTCTCACACAAAGCTAAGGTATATTTTCTCACTTTAAAACAAAGGAAAGTAATGTCCTAATCCCAAAGTGATACTCTGAATATATACCAAATGAAAGCAGTGTACAAAAGAAGAATCACTGGTATTAAAATGAGAAAAATCTGTGTAATAAAAGTCTGCCCCATGAATGGCCTTTTGACTCAGACAAGACCCCAGACAAGAATTTTTTTTTCCATGAAATTTGTACCTGTGTAATTACTGTGTTCATGTTGTTTCCATCTTTGAATCTGTGACGTTATGTATTACAGTATAAAAGAAAAATCCCATTTAAAAACTCATACGTTTTGATTTGTTGTCAGACAAAAATGCACACTATATTATATAAAATACTACAACTTTCAGCCTCAGTGAGAAGAATGTAAGAAAATAATCGACATAAGACTACTTCTTCTGCTTCAAATCAAATTGTACATTTAACCTGTGACCCTTTGCGCCTCAGATCTATTCATTTGTTAGTGAGTGAAATTATCTGGGTATGTCTCTGTTTGTCACCTCCCTCAGTGTTACATACTTCCTCTCTTTTAACGGTCATCTCAATATGGCAACTTTGAGACTGACCCTGAGGATGTGTACACTGACTCCCTGTGGTTTGCGTTAAGTGTTCCATCTGTTCTTATGGTTAACTTAATGCTTTTTTATGTCACGTTAACCTCAGATATAACCAGTATCCACTGTAAATGTTTATATTTACTTGCATGTGAAGTTTAATGGTGACTTAATGAAACCTGGTGGAAAAGTCTTGCAGTAAGAAACAGCCACTCACATATAGTATTTGGTTAACCTGTTTATTTTATATGCCTTAGGTAGAATTCCTTTAGGAATTTCACTAACATATTGTCACATTCCACTTTGGCCTTTCTTGCTGCACAACTGATTTAAAATTCTCTCTGAAGTTTGAAATTGGCTCCATTATAACTAAGATGCAAGTAATGAAACTACATTGCAGTGGCATCCTTTTCTTGCTTTTCATCCTTTCCTTCCCTTTCCTGCTTTCTTGACCCCACTCTCTCCTAACCTGTACCTATCTGTGTCCGTGTGTGCTGCGTCCAGGTATCAGGAGGAGTACAGTATGGACTCAACCAATGCCCAGTAAGTCTCTGGCAGCATCATGCTTGCATGGCATGGATTGTGTCTGCAGTGATAACTGGACTGCGAGCACCAAAGCATATGCATAAAGCACTTTTCACTGGATTTTGCCTACACCATGTGTAAACATAATGCCATTACTGTGATAAGTTGCAAAGTTGGTAGATGATGCAGAAAGGTCATTCTTTGGCTACCTTTTCAACAGTTGTTGTGGAAAAGATGTTTGGTCCATTTATGGAAACTGGCCACATTTGATCATACCACTGTAAATGTTGGAAAGGTAGCTTTCAATAAAGTAAATGCTGGTGTATTTGTTTTTCAACTGAATGTGCACGCCAGGCTTCACCACTTCAGTGTTGTCAATGTCCATTTGTGGGCTTGAAACATGCAACTGTGTGAGCAAATATGACAGAATTCCTAGAAAAACAAAGAGCTAAATATTGTTGAAATGGGGGCTGAAAACACTAACATGGAAATTATTCATGCCTTACTTACCATATAATGTGCATGTTGGTGAGTTGAAAATCATTGAAATGTTTATCATCTTTTAGACCGACCGAGTTAGATGGTCTTTTTTTTTTTTTTTTTTTTATACTGCAATACCTTTTGGGAAATTGAGACATTTCAGCGATAACTCAGATTTTGGGTTGTGGCTGTAGGTGATGGATCATAAATAACGTGGTAAAACCTGAATATGAAATCTGTAGAATTCCTTCTCTTCTGTAGGTGGTTTTCCTTTAGCTGTCAGAGTTATGACTCGAAATGACAAGTGCAAAGTGTAAATGTATACCAGTCAACAACATCATCGAAACCTTTTCTACAGTTTCACATTAAAACAATACATTTTAATGAGATGATCAATGTTATTTACATCCCCTGTCAGTGGTTATTATTGATGTGACTGACTGGTACAAGTCACATCATCTCTGTGCTCCAACTGCTAGTCCTGTTGCAATGAAGTGCTGGGTTCTTTCTGTGTGGGGCTGTAGGTGTGAATGTGACCGTGAATGTTGGTTTTGCCCCTGATGTTGCTCCTGATGGCTGGAATAGATTCCATCCATGAATTGGATAAGTTGATGTTAAGAAAATGGATGAATAAATGGGGGGGGGAAGATTTTCCAGCATATATATATATTGGTGTTTGAATTATTCAGATCTAAAAGTTTGAATAAACAACAACAAATTTATAGTCAGATTATGGGTTATTTATTGAACTTGTAGAGCGATAGAGGAAGTTTGTAGTGTTTATGGGAGCAGTTGTCTCGTCTTGTCCAACATATGAATAATGTGCAATAGCAGCTATGGTTAACCTGTAGATGTAAACACCTGCCAAACAAACATTGAATTTGTGACACGTCCTTTAACATTATTAATCCTTCAGCAACATTAATGCTCCAACCTTTTACCGACACACCGCAAAAGAAGCTGAAATGTCAAGATCCTCCCTCCTTTGTCAGAAATGACAGGTCATTTGACCTTTAAGGCTGCGGTTTTATTCTTGATTAACCATCCTGTTAGTAAACTGGGAATGGTAATGTCACATACACTAATGACAGTGAATCTGTGTGTGTTTACTTTATCGGTTATCTGTTCATGTATTTGTTTTTTCTGACTGTCTGTGTAACAAATGTATATGTTACATGTATATTTAATGAAACCACAGTTAACAGAAAACACATTTGATTACTATTCATTTTCCTTTGGCTCTTATTGAAAACGCTTGTTCAAGAAAAACTGGTATTACTTGTCAGCAGCAGACCTTTCAGCTGTGGTTGCTAATAGAATACTTCGTACTGCTGTGTAATGCTACTTTGTTGGCTATACAGTTGGAGGTTGGGTTGAACATTGTGGGTGTGTTGAGCTATACCTAACTAAAAAGTGCTTAATTAAAGGCAGTGCATTTTAACACTGTGTTAAAGGATACGCCTTTTAAACTGTATTCACTGTGGGGTGATTGACCTTGTTTCCATGGTGCAGCAGTTGCATTACCCTGGCAACACCATGAGGAATCTTGAAGTCATTTTTAACTAGGATATGTCCTTCAGTGCGCATCATCAATATGTAGGACTGCTTTCTTCCATTTGCGCAATATCTCCAAAATTAGAAACATTGTGTCTGAGAATGAAACTAGAAACTAGTATTGCTTCTAGGCTGGACTACTGTAATTCGTTATTATCAGGATGTTCTACCTGTACCTGAAAAGTTTTCGATTGATCCAAAATGCTGCAGCAAGAGTACTGACAGGGATTAGAAAGAGATAGCATATTTCTCCTGTAATGCTTCTCTTCAATAGCTCCCTGTTAAATCCAGAATTAAATTTAAAATCCTGCTCCTTACATACAAGGTCTTAAATAATCAGGCCTCATCTTGTGTTAATGACGTTTTAGTACCATATCACCCCTTTATGGCTCTTCACTCTCAGACAGACTTCTCGTTCCTAGAGTATTTAAAAGTAGAATGGGATGCAGAGCCTTCGGTTTTCAGGCCCATCTTCTGTGGAACCAGCTTCTAGTTTGGATTCAGGAGACAGACACTATCTCTAGTTTTAAGATTAGGCTTAAAACGTTCCTTTCTGATAAAGCATATAGTTGGTGTTGGATCAGGTGACCCTGAATCCTCCCTTAGTTATGCTGCAATAGGTCTAGGTTGCTATGAGATTATCATGATGCATTTAGTGTTTTTTCTTTAATTACCTTTTTCACTATGTTGTTTATACATTCTGCATTTCATATTTGTTATTATTAATCTGACCTTGGTTCTGCTGGAGATTTCTTCCTGTTAAAAGGGAGTTTCTCCTTCCCACTGTCACTAAAGCGCTTGATCATAGGTGGTCATATGATGATTATGGTTTTTCTCTGTTTCCTTTGTATTATTGTAGGGTCCTTACTTTACAATATAAAGCACCTTGAGGCAACTGTTGTTGTGATTTGGCACCATATAAATAAAATTAAATTGAAGTTGACACCGTGCAGTGGTTACTTAACCATTTCTTTCAATGATTACAATTTAATGAAACATTCAAACAATATTTAACTGCATTTTTATTTGCCTGTGAAACATTTTCATACAATTCTTGCAAAGGAGGGAAATTCATGAAGTTAGTATTTCCTCTACAAAAAGACATTATTAGGGTATTTTGACATTATTTCTTTTTTTTAAAATCCAACTCATGAATAACTTATTTTTTTTACCATTAGACCCTTCTGTGGCCTTTAACATCACCCCAGTGCCATTATCCAATCTGACAACCTTGTGCTTTTAAGTCTTATCCAGGCACTGAGGTCTCTGCACTTTTTACAGTGCTAAGCCTTAAACTCAGGACTTCTGTAAATCTGGAGTTTATGCACATTCTGATTCTTTCATAGAAAAGGATTATCAAAACTCACACATGGAGGCTAGATCTAAATTATTTCTGCACTTAGAGCACTTGAGCAGTACCCTGTTAAAAACCTCAACATTTTGTACCTTTTCGTTTTCTGCGGACAAAGAAAGATCTCTTTTATGTGATGTTGCTTTCGTTTTATGAAACTATTCGACAAACAACATTGCTACAATGCTCTTGAAATATTCAGTCAAGAGGAGGATGAATTTGGTTTTACAAAACCAGCACAGTCAGCACAGCAGGCAGCAATCTTAAAGCTGCACATTTGTGTCAGAACTCCTTAATAAACCTTGAAAGACATATGACAGTTGCTTTGAATAAGCAGCTTTCAGATGCCTATTTAAGGCTTCATTGCACTAACGTTTGCTCATACATTCATAAGTATTAGGAACAAAACCATTCAGTGTAATCTGGGTCCGTCAGCGGTCCACAACACCCACGCTCATGTGCAGCAGCTTACAAGTTGTACATATCCTATAGACAACCAGAAATCACCATCCCTGCCCTTTCATGTTTCCCTTGTCTATCCACTGAACACACAGGTCCTATTAAAGTTAGTGAGGAAGGCTTCCCCTCCAGATGATTATGACACAAACACTTGCACATCCTTCTTGAGGATTGTGGATTCAGTGTCCATTTGATAAGCTGCCTTCACAGTTAACACAGTCGCGTCTGAGCTGAAGTCCATATTCTATCTTTGCACTATAATAAGGCTTTGGAAAAGTACCTGCAACAATTGGGAAGTTTTGAGTGCTTCAGAGTGATAGAAGTAGAGAATAACAATGAAGCCACTGCTTTTTATTCGAGGAGTATTTTTAGAAGCCTTGCAGCGTTTATATCAGGAACACTTTAGTGGGAGGTGAATAGGACATTTTCTATTTTCAACTCTTTGCTTTGTCAGAGGCGCAGCAGAGCAAATCCGCCATCAGAAAATCTAAAACTGTATTAAGGCTGTGATGTGAAAGAGGTTTTTTTTTAACACTGTTTACAGGTAAGATGCATCATTAACGGTCTGCATAGTGATTCTGTGGCCTGGTTATGATCAGAAACCTTGAATTAATGGGTCGCTTCACTAAGGCTGCCTGGTTGGTCAGGGATAATCAAACTGATGTGTTACAGATTTGGTTCTTTGCAACTAGTTGCAACTGGCAGACTGCAAACTAAAACATACAAGGCAAGGTTGCTGTTGATTGGGTTCTGCAATAGATGCAGAGCATGAAGCATCTGAGTACCATCTTAGGACTGATATCTGTTGTAGGCTCCTTCTTGAGTGACTATTACGACCCCCATTGTCTTGTTGTGGTGTTTGCCTGTGCTTGATTCTGCAAAACCCTCACACATATTCCATATGGCGCAGAGCATCTGGCGGCTGTTAGACAGAATTAGTTTTTTGTTCTTTCTTTTTTTTTTTTATCTAGAATGAGCATGGGGCTTTGAACAGATCTGTTCTGCTCGTCTGATTATCCCGAGGTCAACAAGCTGTTTGATGTTTATTTACATGGTCTACAAAGCAGTTGTAGTTGTTCAGTGTCTCACACGAGGAGCTCATAAAATTGCAATCCTGTCACAGGCAGCGGTCACGGTAAACAGCATTTGTGTTTGTTTGTGTGCCACCTCAATACTATACATATATGTATATATATTAGTGTTGAAGCTCTATATACCGTAAAGAGTTGTTAGTTGAGGACTCAAGGTCATATGATGCATCTATCCTGTGTGCGAACAAAGGGACTGCATCTTCTTAAAGTTATTGTCTGTTGTGAACACTGTGTGACTCCTTGGATATACAGACTACTAATCATCTTACCCTACAGTCATTGGTGGTGGTTGTTTGCAGACTCGAGATGCCAAAGGAAAGAGAGTATGTACTTGAAAGGTATTGCTGTGGGTTCACAGCTCCTGGCAGCCACCTTATGTGTAAGAAGACCTTTTTGTACCCTTGGTCAGAAGTGTTTTATAAGCACGATAAAAGGTAAGGACAGCAAATGTTTATCCTTGTGTATTATGTGGACAGAAATAAGTGTGATGAGAAGTGCTGTAAGGCGTAATTTTGACTGGCTAGTTAAAAAAAAAAATCCACAGAGGCAATTCAGTAATTTATAGCTTCTTATTCAAGTCCATTTTTTGCTTTTTCAGTTGTGATAGGACCATAGCTTAGAACTGTATTCTGAATCTTTGTCAGTAAAATATTGTTTATATGGTTCAAATGACTGAAATTATAGAACAAATGCACAGTTTTGAGACTACTGAATGTTGGGTTAAGTCATTTTTAAATATAGTCTCAGGAACTTTATGACATGGAAATTGAGAGCCATTGGTCTTAAGAAAGTAATGGAAAGCTAGAGCCATATGCAAGACATGTCTGAATGGCATATTAAAGTCCTAGTTGTTGACATATTTCTTGTTGTGTACTTTGTGTAGCAAAGCATATACAAAATCGACTTTTCTTCAATCCAAAATACTTTATAATGTCCCCCAAACTACAGTTTCTTCTCTTACTTAAATAACTGAAAATGCTCTGCTACTAGAAAGAGGTATAAATACTTACATGAAAATCTGATCTATACACCCACCTTTACCTGGCATGTTTGAGCTTACCAAACAAAAGTAGCTGCAACAGATTTATATAACACATCAGATTACAGTTACTTACATCATTTTCCAGTATATTTATACATTCACCAGATAACATGACATTGACCCTTTTCTCCCTTTTCACTCATCTCCATCTTTGGATATCTTTACCTTTAACCACTTTGCCTCCATTAGCCTCCTTAAAATGTCCATGTTCAGCTGGGTGAAGGTGATTTAAGTGTCTGATTAGGTTTATTGTTAGGAAGTTTTTATGATGGTCCCTCCATGATTTTCTTTGGTGAAGTTTGCCTTCCCTCCAAGTGAGGAGCTTCCATGCTAAAGACATGTTTTTTTGTGGATGTGAATATGCGTGACAATTTATATGCACCACAGGACACATGTTGTACATGCATGAAGCAGGCCGGCTCAAAATCAGAAATACCCAAAGCCAAGATTGCTGGAAATTGGCCTTTTCCGGTCCCTTGCTGGCCGATTGCTGTGTCTGTAGTATTTTACAGAAACATAAAACTTAAATAATCAAGTAACCTAGAATTAAAACTTTGCAGCCTTTTCATTTGTAAAGGAGCTACTCTCTGTAAAGAATGTATTCGATTTGCTGCTGGGCTTTTTTTTTCTGTTAAATGAGTAATTCCCAAAGTGTTCAGTTAAGTATTAATGTACTCAGTTTGTGTTTTCCTTTAGTCGTGTCTTAAATCAAGATTTAAGTTTTATAAATAAGTAATCAGTCTGTAAATCCACAAATTTTATTTTTCCTTACAACAATGGTTGGCTTAGGTTTTGCTCTGTTCACATTTGTCCATGTGCTTATAGGCAACAGGGTAAATAAAAGGCCCTAGTAACTTTCATTCAACTTTATAAGTTCTTTTACAGCTTCTTAGGTGACCGATACCAGTGAGTGAGATATGTGTGTGATGGAGTCTGTATGGATGGGCATTTGGAGATGATGGCTTCTACATGTGTGTCGGTGTGTGCATTTGGCTCCGTCTGTCTCTGACTAATTCCTCGTGCGAGGAAAGCATGCCACACAGACACGTGAGTGAACATTTCCTGCACTGAAAACTGTCTCTATGGCAATACGGAAGGAGGAGAGAGGGGATTAGCTGGGAAATGGCTCATATCATGTTCTTTCTCCTACCTACACTCTTTATCTACACACACATAGTCCCTTTGGAGTAGGCTGCTGTAATTGCCCCTTAGCTCGCTTCTCTCCTCCCTTGTCTTTTCGCACCCTGTATTCATCTTGTCAGACAAGGTGGAAAGCTGCAAGGGTCCCTGCTGTGACTGTAAGACCATTATTACTTTCCCTTCATGTTCTTTACTGACAACAAACTCTGTATATTACTGAAATGGGCAATAGGCCTGGCTCATTACCTTCAATTGTCTAACCTACCCACAGTTCTGTAGCTACGTCATCATTCATGCTTAAGTGATTGTTTGGTCCATTATGTCTGCTCAAATCTTTAATAGCTTTGCATGTGTCATAGTAGGTGTGACCACTTAAAAAGCATTGCTAAAGTGCTATAGTTTTTAATAGGGAGATAATTGTCAATTATTAATGGAAGCTTTTTTTTGGTGCTGTTTATAAAGCGGGCTCTCCACTTGTATTCTCTCTTATTTATGTGAAGAAATAAGGCTAGACCCCAGAGGTACTGATTGTCTCTCAAATTGTAAACAAGGTTTCAGAGTGCTGAATGTGTTGGCACTCTTAAAAGTCGCAAATAAATATTACAAATTTTATGAAATGTTTAGAAATATTAAGCAATCAGAAATGATTCAGTCCTATTTTGCCCTTTTCACAGAACAAATTAGTCAATTTGAATAAATATCTCACTAAAGTAATTAAAAAAAATACTTTAAAACAAAGTATTTCTCTGAATGTGGAGAAGTTTCGCAGTCGCTGTCGAGAGATTGTCAGTATATTTACATAAATCTTCATTAATGACTGCAGATGCTGTACGTTTGAATTTCAAGTTAGATGTGAATGTACTTGTGATCAATATTGTTATTGTACATGGCAGACAGTAAATGCTGGGTAACAGAATTAGTGAAAATAATATACAGCTTATTCTAAGTCTGTATAGATTTGCATGTGATCTGCTGGCTGGAGTTTACTGGAAAAAAACTCAATTCTGTTGACAAGAAGTGAAAAATCACAATAAAGTGAAACGTACGAAACATGAAGACTTCTGGGAAATGTCAGCATATTGTTACTGTTTTCTTCTATGCTTAACCTTTCTGCATTGCCCCCACAGGGTTCAGGTAGAGTTCTATGTGAACGAAAACACCTTCAAGGAGAGGCTAAAGCTTTTCTTCATCAAAAACCAAAGGTCAAGTAAGTAACCATAAACTATGCTATCTTTTAGAGTGAAAATGGTAAGCGGCTTGCTACTGCTAGATACTTTCTGAGCCAAATGAATAATAAGTGCATAATAAAGGAAATGACAGCCAATGATGACATATTTCCACTTTGTGTCTCAGTTGGGGCTTTCATTATTACATTAGCTGCCTCATTGTTGGGGTTTTAAGTGTTCAAGCTGTGACCCAGCGTGGACAGAAGAATATGGCTCATTTGTGGAGAGATGAGGCAGAGCTGCAGTGTTTTTCTCATTAGGACATGCCACATTGTCTCTAAAGAAGACACTGGCATGACTCAGCAGTTTGGTGCACTGTGTCTGGAAGCTGTTCATTTGCATGTAGTTATAAAAATGTACACTATGGGAACTCTCCCATATATAGTTGGACATGTCGTTACCGGCTCTGCTTTCGTTCGCTCAGCTTGTTGTTGTCACTAGGCAGCCATAGTCTTTGACATAAAACAGCAGGTTTTAATGAAAATGTCACATCGTGCTGCGGGGGTCTTCTGCTCCATTTGTTGTTTGTTTGTCTGCCCTGTTTCAAACCTTTTTAACACTGACGCAGGCTTCATCGCAAGGGGTCGTGTCACTAGGGATTAGCTAACTCGCTGGCTGGATGACTGACTGGCTAGCTGACACTGCTAGATTTAAAAAAAAGCTTCTGTCATCTTCTGCCAGGCTTTAGTTTTTATGTGTATTATTTAGTGTTGTATGTAGCAGGTTGTATGTGAGTTTATCAGTACACTTATGTCCACAAAAAAAAACCTTGTGACTTCATAAACATTATTATCACCCATTGTCATGTTTAGGCTGTGTGCAGGCAGGAGAGGACCCAAACGCAAACTCACGGGAAAACAGGACTGAACTCAAAATACAGCTTTATTGCTGACGGAAGTTAAGGCGATACAAGATAATATGGAACTAAACTGGGACGCATAAAGGAACTGACTCACAAGGAAACACACGGAGGCGCACACAGTCATGAGGGAGATTGCAACACTGACACAGAGAAACACAGGGCTTAAATACACTGGGAAATAACGAGGGAAATGAGACACAGAAGGGGAGCACAGCTGGGAGAAATCGGACATAACGAGACCCAAGGGAAGCGAAACTCAATACATTCACGTAGGACACAGACCTTCAAAGTAAAACAGGAAATGTAACATAGACGCAGACTTGACTAGGGGAGACAGAGCAACTAAGAAACACAGACAAAAATAACAGGGAGACACAGAGGGCGGCTAACTAAATCTTCAGAAAACTAAAGAGAATACAAGAAAGTCAAACTAAGACACTAGACTAAAGAATAAACTGGGGCAACAAAGAGAACTAAGATCATAATACAAAAACTCAGAGACACAAGAAACTCAAAACACTGGGTCACCGACCCAGGACCGTGACACCCATGGCTATTTCTATGCAAGCCCACCAGGCATTCATACTGCTTTGTAATGCTTCTGCACATTGTTAGCATACAAAAGTGCTAGTGTTATTTTTGTGTTCTTCTTGAAGGATTTGAAGGATGTGCGTCATGGAAAATCAGGTGTGCCAGGCTGCTGTAGAGGCATGGAAATATAATAGTTATGGTTCAGGGGTAAAAGCATTTTATGCACCCAAACGACCACAATTTGAGCAGTAGCAGTTCGCTATGATGAAGAGAATTTGCTGGATTTGTTGTTGACAGCAGTCTCTGTTTGAACTTCAGACTGCAGACAAAGTGTACACAAAAAAGAGTGGAAAAAAGTCAACACAGAGCTTTAAGTCTGAGCCTGTGAATAATGTGAAAAGATGTAAGCAAGCTCCTCTTTAAGTCACTCAATTTAAGCTCCAGCTTTTTTTGTTGTTGCTCCACAGGCCTGAGGATCCGCTTGTTCAATTTCTCACTGAAGATTCTCACCTGTGCCCTCTACATATTAAGAGTCAGCTTGGAAGATCTGAAGGAGAAAAATGGGAGCCCATGGTGAGAGTGAGACTCTACCTCTCCCTATTCAATCACTGTTCCTATTCCACTTGTACATAGTAATTCTTTTTTATTAAAAATCAAAAATGGAGGATAAATAAAAGCTAGAAAAGAAGAAAGAGGAAAAGGGTGATAGTCATGTCATCACAGGGTAAGTAAATGTTAAAGCAGTCCTTCCAGATACTCAAACTCTACCGCACAAAAAACATTCAAGCTGAGATAAAATGAGTGAGATAAAAAGAAAGCCATGTATGTGTAATGTTACTTTATTAGTCCATCACTCCCTCTGTTATCTGGCTTCACAGAGCCCAATATCAGCTGTCACAACCAAAGTCTGTTGTTAACAGGTCTGCACATTAGGAAAAGTGTATTTACAGCATTTTAATCTAGCAATTCCAAACAATTTCCAAAATATATATTTTTTGTTTTCCATTGTAGAAAACGGTAAATGTAAGTGACTGCAGCGTGATGGCTTAGCTCTGTTTCCTCATAGAGGATCCTTATTTCAGTGGCTGGTAGGGCCCATCTGTGTGCAGTTGCCTCTGGGGACTCACAGATAAACATGTTAGGTTAGTGCTGCCTGTACTGGACTATAACAGACTGGCCAATAAGATTCTTCATCTCGAGGGTTTCACTGAAGGTTGTCAGGAGAGCATAAAGCATAAAGGATACAGTACCATGAAGTATTTGCCACTTCCCAATTTCAGGGAAAAAAACAAAGAAATCAGGGAAAGGGCAAATGCTTTTTCTCGCCACTGTAAGTATATGTGAAATATTCTGTTTTTTACTTTCACAACAGTTATTTATTTTATAGTGATTATATAATTTTACTCATGTTGTGTGCGTGTTTATATGAACAATGTGAAAAAGTTGCTCATCCTATGCAGTTATGTGGATGTTTGACTCCCAGTAGACGGGTTTCCTCCCATTCAGACGTTCAAACTGTTACTCTGTGTTTATCTTTTCCTTACTCCTGTCCGTAATACAGTGCAATGAATCGAAGCAATGGTTGGAATGATACATCAGAGCCACCACAAATCAAATGGTATGTTCATGTTAACATGGCACTCCATAGTAAAATTAGTGGTGCACAATAGTAAGGTTGATAATAAATGCAGATGCAGTGAAGTGTGAGTAAAAGTTTCACATTGTTTGTGACAGGGAACGCATTTTCTGGGTGAACAGACGAGAGTCTGTGTGGGCAATACAGGTGAGCATAATACCGTTTCTGTGTGCATAAATCAAATTCCATTCCATGAACTCAGTCTCAATGCATAATTCAGCCCAAAAACACCACAAGCCATTTATTAGATAAAAACACTGCAGAGTATGGACGTTCCCCGCTGAAGGCCGAGAAGAGTCTGCATTTGCAGGGTTCATTTATCTCTCTCCCCTTTGCTCCAGGTGACAGTGGCCTTAATCAGTTTTTTGGAGACTATGCTTATCACATATCTCAGCTACAAGGTAAGAGACTGACTCACACTACAAATTTTATCTTTTTAATTCTTATTGTCCTCTTGCAGCTTCTTGATCTAAGTCCAACGCTTTGTTTCCTGTCTTGCGAACCAACAGCTTTCACTTTCCAGCCTCATTTACATTCCCCAAAGACAGCCCCATCACAGAGCCAGCAGTCTTTGCTGCAAATTTTCAACTCAGACATCTAGCACACTGTCTCAGAAAGAAGTTGAGATAAAGGCTCTACAGAGCTTAAAGTGCTGTTTGTGTTTTGTCTACAAACACGTGACAGAAAGATGCATCACAAGTGTATTTAGGTCTGATTTGCGAGCCTTGCAAACCTTAGCATTGATTCTAAAGTTGCTGGAACTCTACCAAAAGATTTAAATATCATTTTTCTCAAAGTTATTCCCTTGTGTGGTGTTTTGATGATTTTGGAGGGTGCGATCAAGCACATCCACCTAAAACCTCCCACAGGGGCTCAGCTGAGTGCTCATTTTCATATTGATCAAACCATTAAGTGAGCGCTGGTACCTTATGAGTGGTGATGATATGGTCATTTAATGTGATCACTCCCATCAGGAAAGCATTTTTTTTTATCGTAGGATAACAATGATCACTTATTGTACTGGTTTTTCAGCTAATCTTCTCTCCCCGAACCAGCCGAATGCCACAGAACACAATCAGTTCCCTTCGCTGTAGCTGTCAAGAGTTTAGGTTCAGCTTTCCTTGAATCTGTGACACATCTGAGTATGCACTTCTTTTCTCAGTCCTTGTGCATGCAAAAGGAGGATTGTGCACATTGCAAAAAAAATATCAAAAATATGTGTTAGTGAAATGCACGGTATATAGAAATACAGAATATCTGATGGCAGACAGAATATTTGAAACATTTTACAATCCACACAAACATATCTTCATAACAGACCATTCAGTTAGCTGTAATAGCTCTTCTCAGATATTTATTGAATTGAGCAGCATCACATACTGTCCATATTTTTTTCTTTACTTTTTCATCTGTTAATGTATTTAGAAATTAAGATTTTAGGAATGAACACACTATTAGTTTGGATTTGAACATCTCCCACAGCTTTCCCTGACTCTGAATCTAAGTTGCACCATTGCTTTCATCTCCTGTTGAGATCCTCAGATGTTTGCATTCGGGTTTATTACATGCAGTCTTTATCTTCTTCTTTCCTTCAGTTCCATTGAACAGGGTTCCTACTGCTTTTACTTTATGAGTCACACATGCCGATGTTAAATTTTGTCCTCAGATGGTGAAGCCTTTCAAAATATTGTGGTTTTGAGATATGTGTGTGATGGAGTCTGTATGGATGGGCATTTGGAGATGATGGCTTTTATCTTAAACTGCTGCTTTTTACATGTCTAGTTTCCAGTGTCACCTCCTCAGTGTATCATTTCACACAAGCGTAAATTTATAGTGTTCTGCTTCTTGAACATTATACCTTGACAGTGAAAATATATGCAGATATATTTTTACTTATGTTCTCATTCACTGCTATATAATACCAAATGGAATTATAGTGCACAGAGACATTATGTAACACACGTGTAAATGAGCAGAGGCTGCATCATACAGTCGATTATGTAAACCCTTCATTATGAAAAGAGATTTAAGTGGTATATATATATTAGAACCTTTTTATCTTCACTTTAAACTTTGTATCTTACATTTAAGCACAGTAGCTAAGCATAACAGGCAAAAACTACAAACAAGCACATTTGAATGCTTTAAGCACAAAGTCAGGTATTATATTCAGATACTGACACTAAAATTGTTAATTTCAAAGAACCATCTCCTCTGAACAAAGATTTTAGACGTTAGCACAGAAAGTTGTTGTTGTTTTTCCTACATGGTGTTGTTTTATGTTGATGTCCTCCATCTACCGAAGGCAGACAGCCTGCAGCAGATTCATTAAATTGTTTCCCATTAATTTCCTTTCTAGGGAAACATTTGGGAGCAGATCTTCCAGATTTCCTTCATACTGGAAATGATCAACACAGTGCCATTTATAATCACAGTGAGTAACTTAATCAGTTCGCCTTGTCCACAAAACAAGATCTTCAAATATCAGATATGTACAATTTTGAATTTAATGAGAAACTACCTAATGCATCTAAATTTCTTTATTATTTGTATTGGGGATTGTAACTTCATGTTATATATGAGGTATGTTAACTAAATATCGCTTTACTAATATACTGTATATTTTCACCCTGTCTCTTTCTTTTCTTCTTTAAGATTTTCTGGCATCGATTAAGAGACATATTCGTCCCTGTGTTTCTTAACTGCTGGCTAGCCAAAGGTGCTCTGGAGAATATGATTGTAAGTTTTTTGCCAATGTAAATAAAGTGTGTGTTGCATCTTACACACTAAAGCTTGATTGTACTAGAGAGAATAAACAAAACTGTATGTTTTCTTTATTACTATGGGCTTTGAGGTTAAATTATCTGCCCTCTAGCAGCCATATTAGAGCTCATGAGTAACATTGTGTAAGTGCTCAGTGGGTTGATACAATGTAACAAAACAGAATTTAATTGACTAGGCTAATTCATTTCTTTCTGGTTAGCTGACACTCTCTTTTTGTCGACACTGATATGTGCACAAAACAGCATATCTTTTTGAAGCTACATTTATCTGTGTAACATTATTAGCAGTAACAGTGGTTACTTTGATAAATTAGCCTGCTGTCTAATTAGCTGGCTACAAAGCTAACACAAGCCATGTTATTCATGTTTAGCTGACGTATTTAGGAGAAAACAAAAGACATGTTTTTTTAATCAAACAGCAGACTTTCATATTTACGCTGCAGTAGGCTTTCAGACAGACTGTGTTTTCTCGCTAGAAGCTAGCATAAGGAAGAAGCAAGCACTTTTTCTTTCTTTTAGAATTGACTGCATGTTCTTGAGGCTAGTGCACGGCATGCACGGCAGGTATCGTGGCCCTACACTCATTGGTCCACTTTATTAGAAATACCTGTTCACTTTCTCATTTATACAAATTTCTAATCAGCCAATCACACAGGGTAGGTGTGAAAATATCCATTGACCATTAGTGCTCAGTGTGTAAATGCCCTGTTGATACCAGAAGTCATAGGAGAATGGTCAGACTGCTTGAGCAGTTAGTTAGGCAGCAGTAACTCAATCAGCCACTTGCTACAACCAACGAATGCAGAAGAGCATCTTTGAGCAAAACTAACTTTGAAGCAGACGAGCTACTGCAGCCGAGAACCACACCAGGTGCCACACCGAGGGAACTGAGGCTACTGAAGCTACAAAACTGAGTAAAAGAAGACTGGAAGAAACATTACTAAGTCTGAGTGTCAATATTAGTGGTTCAGGCTGCTGCTGGTGGTGTAATGGTGTGGGAAATACTTTTTTGCACACTTTGGGCCCCTTATCACTTATTGCTCATCACGTGATTCCTTTATGACTACCATATACCCATCTTCCTATGGCTGTTTCCAGCAGGATACCACACCATCTCACAAAGCTCAAATAATCTCCAACTGGTTTCTTGAACATCACAATAATCTCATTGTACTCAAATGGCCTCCATAGTTCCCAGAGATTGCCATCATGGATGTGGAGCCAACAAATCTGCAGCAACTATGAGTTGCCATCGTATCAATATGGACAAAAATCTCTGAGGAATATTTCAAACACATTGTGGAATCTATTTCGTAGAGAATAAAGGTAGTTCTGAGGGCACAGAGGTTTCAACCCAGTACAAGCAAGGTGTACCTAACAAAGTGGATAATGAGTGTATATTGTTTAAAGTTGCAAGTAAAGCAGTATATGTTTAGAGTACTACCCAATATCAAGAGCAAGTCGAGCCAAAGCAAAAAGTACAAGTGTGGGCACGGCGAAGTTTAATAAAACACAGAGTTCACAGAAATCTGTTGTTGTAGTATTAGTGTTGCCCAGAAGGGTTTAACAGGTACATGAAATTCAAAGCAATTCCATTGGATCCACCTGGTGCAGTGTGTGCTCTTGCTGTGATTCAGATGAGACAGAGTAAGAGCTACATGCCAAGACGGTAGGTGGCAGATGGTTGAATCTGTGGCCAGGGGGGTGGTGGCAGGCAGAACATGCTAACAAGGTGCAAGTGAAAATGAGTCGTGAGCTGCCACGTTGGAAGATGGACAGTATGCTAATATAGGAGTATAAAAAAAATCTTCCAAAGAGGAAAGGGCACTCGTTTTGGTGTAGTTTGTGTGTTAGTAAAATAATGGACTACAGTTACGTAAGAGATCTGAGCTTTGATTAATTAAATGAAATGATTTTAATTTGGTTTGGAAGGAATTTGTACGTGTGATGCAGATGCCCTTTTAATACTTTGTTTTGCAAATATATTTTGGTCCAGTTGTCCTTGAGAAATTGTTTATTTTTGCTATCACAATTGGAAAATGTGTCATATTTCTCAATCAGCGGTATGACTAATGCACTGAACCTCTTTTCTTGTGTCCAGAATGATTTCCATCGTGCCATCCAAAGGACCCACTCTGCCATGTTTAATCAGGTGTTCATCCTCATCTGCACCTTACTGTGTCTGGTTTTCACCGGGTGAGTCAGCCTCTGTTCTCGCTGTTAGTCACTGAAGTGCATCTCTGACCGCTGGGGCAAAATCTGTTCTCTGAACCTTGTACCACGTAACCCCAAAAACATCGTCTCACAGTTGGTGGTCTGCATGGCTTATTATCTGGTAGAAGCAATATTTGTTGTAGAAACGAAAACTGGAAAAAGCAAAACATGTAGCTATTCAAAGATCTGTTGAAAGCAGGCATTGTGAGCTACGGTTGGTTATTGGTTAATGTTTTTTAAGAGGTAGTATCCATGAAAGAGATACATATTTGCTACTGTTGTTGGAAAAAGAAATGCTTATAAAAATGCATTGATGATCAGCGTCAGAGTAAACAGACCTACAAACACTGTTATTGTATTGATAACCTTGTTTTCTTTATTGTTAATTGATTTTCTTGTTTTAAAACAGTGAATTTAATCAAAGTTGTGTTATTTCTGACATCATAGCTCTGATTCACTTTCCCCCAGCCCCAGACTTTGTCCACCTTATCCAAAAAAAAAGAATAAAACACCTAATGAGCAGTCAGAGGAAACTGACAGAACAATCATGGTGTCACTTTAAATGCCATACTGAGGAGAAGCCCACGTTGGGCTGACCTTTGGGCCTTTGTTCTTGGTCAAATTGAATTGTAATATCCAGTCTAGACATGACTATATTACCATAGTGAAAGAGATTGCCTTAGTAGAATATATCCCCTTTCGTATGTTATATTTTAATTATCTTTACCCGTAGGACATTTGTCTGGTGTCATTGTATGATTCCTCGTTTTTATGCAGGGCTTGTGGGATCCAGCATCTAGAGAGAGCTGGGAAGAACTTGACCTTATTTGACTCGTTCTATTTCTGCATCGTTACTTTCTCCACCGTGGGCTACGGGGACGTCACGCCACAAATCTGGCCCTCCCAGCTGCTGGTGGTCATTCTCATCTGTGTTGCCCTGGTGGTCCTGCCGCTACAGGTACCGACTCTGTGCTAAATTAAAAACCAGCGATTCGCAAAGTGCAGTGAAGGGTTGCGGTTTGTTGTAAGCCTTGTGTTAGGTCTGTTTAATCATAAGGAATTCTTTAATATTCTGCAGTCAGTGATGACCTTTGTGTGGGTATCATCAGATATTAAATGACATTTTCATGCTGGCCTGCAGCTCGTAAAAGTCTAATTTGGTCCTTCGCTTCTGTGACATTTTTTTGGCTGCAGAAGAAGTTTGCAAGTGCCAGTCAAAATCCTGGCTCACATTTGCTGCATCATTAGTCCACATATATACTGTGTTATTTATATTTAAAGACTGTGAACAGGTTCATCTCTTCACATGTCTCAAAAAGTTTCTGTCCCTGTGGAGCAAATGGAGTGAGAAGTGGAGATGAACTCCCACTGCTGCCAAATTACTCCACTAGTAGTTTTCACTCCATCTGTGTCCAGACAGAAAATCTATCTCATTTTTTATTATTTATTTCATTCTTGCTGCTTTTGACATCACTCCACCTTTGCTGTCATTGTGTCAGTTTGAAGAACTAGCATACCTGTGGATGGAGAGCCAGAAGTTGGGGGGGAACTATAGTCGACATCGGGCGCAGACAGAGAAGCACGTGGTGCTGTGTGTCAGCTCGCTGAAGATAGACCTGCTGATGGATTTCCTCAATGAGTTCTACGCTCATCCCAGATTACAGGTACAATGAAAAGACCAAATTATATGTTAATATGCTGCTATTTTGCTTATTTCCACTGTTTCCACTATATCTTCTATATTTCTATTGCATGCTTTAATCATGAGCATGAGACATGAGACCGGTTGTGTAATTAGCTAAGTCAGTAGTACACAGTGACTATTTCAATATAAAATAAGGCAAAACCTTTCAACTTGCCAGCCTAAGAATCAGCTGATTTTTCGCTCAGCCCATGGAAGGACAGATGAACTGTATGTATTGTTTTCATAAGTCAGAGGAATCACTACTCCTCCTGCAGTATTTGGTAGAACTTAGTGAAACCTCCGTGCAATGATATCCTAATAGGTCTTCAGCTAAACTGTGCTCAAGGTCATATTTGTCATTCTCAGTGGATTTTAATTGTTATTAATTGGTCCAGTACAGCTGACCAATGACAAGAAGACTTCACTGTCACTGTACTTCACACATACAGCACAACACAGTAACACAATAAGCTGTGCACTTTGATGAATATTGAGCTGGATAAGCTACCATGCCACTAAGGTACTGGTTTATATTATAACTTTTTATATTATAATATTTTTGTACTTTATTGGATGTTTTACTGTGAAAAAGTTGCAGCTTTTTTGTTTTATATCATTTTTTCCCCTCAACATTTGGTATCAAGAAAAAAAGAGCACTTTGCCTGTGAATCTTGACATTGGAATGGGTGTAAAGTTGATTTGGTTGCAGTTGTCAGAGCTAAAATGTGTTCATCAGTCATGAAAAATGTATGTTACTTTCTCCTGTACCAATGAATTTATGAGGGTTTAAAAATACTGGGGGAAAAATCAAAGGTCAGCTCATGCCTGTGTACTTCAAGGGGCTGTAACTCTTTGCAGGATGAAAGTAAATGTTTTGCATGGCTTTATTATATATACACTTTGGACTGACTGACTCACTTTTTATAGATTTATCCAGGGTTTTTGTATTTCATGTTTGTTTTGGGTTTTTTTGTAGATTTTAATTTTCTTGTTTTTTTCTCTCTTTCTCTAGGACTATTATGTGGTGATTTTGTGCCCGACAGAGATAGACATTCAAGTTCGTCGAATTCTCCAGATCCCCCTGTGGTCCCAGAGGGTTATCTACTTGCAAGGATCTGCTCTCAAAGACCAGGACCTGATGAGGGCCAAGTGAGTAAACGCATAACATGCACATATTAAGACCAACACCTAAAAACAAAGCTCTTGTGCGTTATCTTTCTGAAAGGTTCAGATTTCAGTAGAGCTGAATCTGATTGGTTTTATTCTTTTTATTTTCTGGATACGACTTGGAATGTAATTTAAAGTGTTGCTTCTCAACTGGCAATGCAAAGCCATTGAAGTGCAGTTAGAGGGTGAGATACTTACAAATCAGCTTGGCTGGCCTCTGCTTTCACTTCAGTGTAATGCAGTTTTACTCCACATCGATCATCTCCTCACTTCAAAGAGCAAACTCTGCACAGAAGCAGCGAGAGAGATTGTGACCTGTCAGTTTTGTTTTCGTCAATCAAACCCATTACTGCACAACCGCAGCATTCGTATCTCGTAGCTCGGCTGCAGATGTTGAATTACAGCCCTATATCCTTTTCTTTGAAAAGTCTTAAGTTTGTCCAGAAGTTCCCTCCTCTTTTCCAAGATGCCCTCTTTAATGTGCAGCTGTTCAGGTGCTGTGTCATTTCATACACACTGATATGTGACCACACAGCCAGCTTACCTTCAAATGACTAACCTCTGTCGAGAACATGCAGAGGGTTGGTGTGACAGAAGAGGATGCTAGGGAGGGTGAGGTGGAAGCAGATAAAAAAAAAGAAGAAGCAGCTCCTGTGTTGCAAGCACTGCATTCTGATACGGTAGTGTTTTCAGAGATTAATTGGGCTTTTAACCTTTTGAGCCTTTGTAATGGCATATTAACGCTCATCTATGCCTGGCTTTAATTTAATGCACTGATCTGTTAAAATGAGGTGTTTCACACCTGGTTGAATGACCTCTTTCCTGCCTTTCTATCTCTCTTTTGTGCGTCTCTTCCAATCTGTCAGGATGGACGATGCTGAGGCCTGCTTCATCCTGAGCAGCAGGAACGAAGTCGACCGAACGGCAGCTGTGAGTCTCATCCTAAACTGTGTCATGATAATGATTATTTCAAATAAGCAGTTTCCCTTTACACCCTATTTCCCTTTGATATTTGCCAGGGAAGTTGTAGATGAAAATGAGCCACTGGACAAGTGAAATAACACAATTTTGCTCCCTCACAGGATCACCAGACTATTTTGAGGGCATGGGCTGCAAAAGACTTTGCTCCAAACTGCCCTCTCTACGTACAGATTCTCAAACCAGAAAATAAATTTCATGTTAAGTTTGCTGGTGAGTGTGCAAAGAATTCATAGCTTCTGAAAAACAGTAATTTGGCATGTTGTTGAGACACAGGCCAGACTTTTTCTTAATATGAAAAGTTTTTGCAATTATTCCTTTTTAATCAGATCATGTAGTATGTGAAGAGGAGTTCAAGTACGCTATGTTGGCACTCAACTGTGTGTGTCCAGCCACGTCCACTTTAATTACGCTGTTGGTTCACACCTCCAGAGGACAGTGAGTATCCGCCAACATTTATTTGCAGTTATTATTCTTTCCCCTTTTCTTTTCTTTTTTTTTTTTTATACAATTTTTAAAAAATACATTTAATTTACTTATCAGTGCAGCACGATGATGCAGTGGTTAGCACTGCTGCCTGATTATTTTGGGAAAAAGCAATATTTCTCTCATACTCCAATCAACCAAAGTTTAGCTTACCTGGTATTAGACTAGATTTTCCAGTCCTGCTAACAGGAAGACGTTTTTGGTTCCTTGGGATAAAGTCTAATTTCAACACCTCCTTCTTTTCATTTTCCTACACTAAACCAACCATATTTGGTATTTTTCCAGTAAGTATGTGTTACTGTAAGACAAATTACCCAGATAAAGTAACAATTATTTGGCAATTAAACTAAATCTGCATGTATGGGTAGTATTATACTTAAGGAAACAAGTAATGGAATCCCTGTGTAGTTTTTTAAGTATCTGTGAGTTCTGTAATTGCTCTAGAAGACATAGTTTGTTGTAGCCTGTGGACATTGTTTTTGGATTTCAAGCTAATAAGACCTATAAAAACCATATTTTTACTCCTTAAGAATTTACTCAACAAATGTCTTTGTTTCTGCCTACATAGCAACTCAGCTTCTCTGAAAGGTTTCTATTCAGTAAAATTTCTAATCTTCGCTTTGACTAAAGAGTTGAATATTTGTGGAGAGATTAAATCTCTCTTTGGGATTAATTTGAGAGGAGGATGACTGTGTGTTCTGCACACAGTCTTTACAGTTACACAGACTGCACTCGGTACAATCTCACTACTCTACTGTCACCGCTGCCCCGACTTGTCACTGTCGAGTCAGTGAACATTACACTTTTTTCTTGTCAGGCCATAAATCTGGCTGTTTTTTTTTTTTTCACATTCTGTTCAGTCCGCAGGAGACACACATCCATTTTCATTTCCATTATGGAAACTGGCCCCAGTTTGTGCCTTAGACAAGATGAGAGAAGACTTAATTTGTGCCAGATTTCAAATATAATTATGATGTACACAATCTGTCTTGCGTCAATGACCTTAAAGCCTGTTGTGTCCTGATATTGTTTGTGACTAGAGTTGAGGAGGCTGGGGAAAACGGAGTCAGAAAAGGTCATGAAAGGTTTGATTTATCAGTACCGAGAGACAAATAAAGTGCAATTTGATTTAAATGTCTTCTTTCTCTGACATTCAAATTGGTTCTGCGCCAGAGTTTAAGATCACAGTCTAAAATATAGTAAGAATGTAGCATGTAGCAAAAAGACTATTGGACACAAAACATCAGAATGAATTGTTCTGTTAATACAAATTCAGGGAGGGGCAGTTATCACCGGAGCAGTGGCAGAGGACATATGGACGCTGCTCTGGAAACGAGGTCTACCACATCCGTTTGTGTGACAGCAAGTTTTTTGGGGAGTACGACGGAAAGAGTTTCACCTATGCTTCCTTCCACGCCCACAAGAAGTTAGTACATTTTCTTCTAGCTCAGTAGAGTAAGATCCTTTCACATTAGAGTAACATCTCTGAGAGCAAAAACCATGTTTGTGTCATTTTGATTTCAATCGTCAGGTATGGCGTGTGTTTGATTGGAGTTAAAAGAGAGGACAACAAAAGCATCCTCCTGAACCCCGGACCTCGCCACATCATGGCTGCCACCGATACCTGCTACTACATCAACATCACCAAGGAAGAGAACTCTGCTTTCATCTTCAAGCAAGAGGAGAAGCACAAGGGCCTGCCTGTCTCCGGGCTCTATGACGCCCCCTCAAGGCTACCTGTGCACAGCATCATCGCCAGCATGGGTAAGACTGAAAGCCACAGGCAGGAATAAATGATGTTTACAAAAAGCGCAGCTGATAAAGAAAGCAGAGAAAATAGGAAGATGGGAGGGTTCTGTTTGTGTGCTTACTAGGCTCACTATCTGATGGCTGAAACGGTTTCCATAGAAGAAGAGAAAATGGATGCTTTGTTTGTGGTTTACTCTAAATTGCACTCACACTGGGCCTTTCTGAATGCTTAGGGCTGCCTTGCTGATGCTTTATGCTTTCACTGACTGTTAAGCATGAGTTTTCTTTTTTTACTTTGTTGGCTGACATTGTTGTGTTGTGCTTTTTTTTTTTTAACCTGTGAAAGTTGATCAGGCCACTTCATTTGGTAAGTTTGTGCATGAGGCATCAATTTTCTATTATTCACACATTTTATTTGGAATCATTTGCACAATAACACCTCACACTTAGCCTAAAAATGTTTCAGCAGAATGATATATGTATATGTACATATATCAAATCTGATATTGTGCATATATCTTTGCCACATATCTTGTACAACTCTGTATCCAAATAAGTTAGGGTGCTTTAAGTAACAACACTCTGCAAATATTAGCCTTTTTTAATTGATCAATTTGTTCTCTTTGTACATTTTTTAATAAACACAAGCTTTGAATAACGCTAATGCCAATATTTGCATTCTGTTTTAATCACCTTTCTTCGTCACAGCATCCTAACTAGTTGGAAACAATTGTGCTTGATATAACTGATCTATCCATTTTTCATATTTATGATATGATGTATATCATACATCATAGGGATATATTTACTGACAGATATGCTAAGTCATTACTATATGCATGCTTTTCATGGTAGATGGTAGCTTTGTGCTTCAGAAAGCAATACATTTTCTCCTCAAGGTCAAACTGCTGAGACTCAAGAGAGTAGTAGGAATATTACAGGCCAAGATAATGAAAAGTCTCAATATATACATAAAGCTATTTCTATATAGCTTTACAGTTGTGATAATATAACCCAACATGATTTCCAGGCACCGTAGCCATTGACCTGCAGCATCCCGATCCTCCTGAGGAAACCGGCAAACTTGCCCTCCCAACAGAGAATGGAGCTGGAAGCCGCCGACCGAGCATCGCCCCCGTTCTGGAAATCGCTGACTCCTCCTCCATCCTGCCCTGCGACCTCCTCAGTGACCAGTCAGAGGATGAGACCAACCAATCAGATGAGGAAGGCTCTGTAGGTTCAGAGTAAGTATTTTTTTTTTAAACTGAAATGTGCCCGTGGTATCCTTTGCTCTGTGCTTGATTGATCTCACCTCCCCTTCTCTTCTTTGTCTCTCAGCTGTTGTAGGATCAAAGATGGATGAGTTTGAAATAGGCATGTAATCAGTGTGTCGTGATGCTATTAGATGTGAAGTACTGGTGATGAATGTGTACATCATGTCAGTGAGGATAGCACTTTTTCTCAAGTGAGGTTCTTGTATGGTGTCCCTGTATTGATTGCTGCTCTTAGCGCTCATTTATCAGTTAGCCAGGCAGAGTCACCCTGAAAGGGTTTTAGCACGTCAGATGTAGGCCAAGGCCCATGTGCTTTATTTTCTCCGTCTATGCGGTTTCTTAAAAGTGAGATAAGTTCAGGATAGATTAGGTACTGATCCCTCAGCCCATGAAAACCAACAGCTGTTAGACCCAGACAATGGTGAGTTTCATAAAGGTGGACCTAACATGGTCCTTCTGACCTGTGTGCCTCCATTACTGCACCCGTTGACGCTTCAGTAGTTTTTCTTTTTTAAGAGTTGTCAGTGCCGCATAGAAGAAAATTCAAGGTCCCACAGTGCCATCGTGTGGTGATCAGTAGGTTTACATCTATGATCAGCTGGAATTTCTTTTATTGGCAAACTAGAGGGCATCGTGAAACTCATTAGGATAATTGCAGCTGACCCATTACAAATCAAGGAGCACAGAACCAAACGGACACACAATCAAGACTTGATTAAAAATAAATAAACTTTGTAATGGAATTAGTCCTTCAGGCTTATAAACATCTGTAATTATAGTAAAGCAGCTGCAGAATCTAATAACAAACTGAAAAGAAGAAACATTAAACTGGTGATAATTCACTTAGTTTATATTATAAAGTAGTGATGAAAGAAGGAAGAGGGAGTCGGTGATGCTTACAGAAATTTTGTAACAGTAGAAGAATCTTCAGAATCTCCTTAAATAAAGTTAAAAAGTACCAGTCGCATAATATCCTAAAATATGTCACCGCTGATATTTGCCTGATATTTCTTTAAAGCTTTAAAGGTGAGTTCTTTGAGTGTTTAAGTGTTTTTTTTCTGTTTCTTTTCCACAAGCTTTGTGAAGGGCTATCCCCCCAACTCACCCTACATCGGCAGCTCTCCAACCCTGTGCCACCTCCTACCACAGAAAGCTCCGTTCTGCTGCCTTCGCCTCGACAAGGTAAGACTCAATGAAAACTCACAGTACAAAATCAACGCTTTTTTTTAAACATCTGTTTTATCGCCGTGGTAAGTAACTGCCCTGTGGTTTGTTTCCTAAGCGCACAGGAATACTAGACCTTGACTAAATTTCTGTTGAATTGTCTGTCTCCATCCAGGGCTGCACACATAACAGCTTCGAGGATGCCAAGGCATACGGCTTCAAGAATAAGCTGATTATAGTGTCTGCAGAGACGGCCGGAAATGGTCTCTACAACTTCATCGTCCCTCTGCGGGCTTATTATCGGCCCAGAAAAGAACTCAACCCCATAGTGCTGCTACTGGACTACCCGTAAGACTGATCAGTCTAACATCCAACACATCCAGACCAGCGTTTATTAGATTTCCTGACAGTGATGCGAAAGCCTAAAGCTTTTCAATATCACAAGAATTTGAGAGTCTTATAAAACTTGTTTTTTTGTGTGCTTTTTAAGAATAGTTGATGATGATATAACCAATGAAGGAGGCCCTCTCTTTGTTACATGGATGTCAGTGTTACTGCACAGTGTTGATGAGACTGGTTTATCATTATTGCGGTGCATGGACTTCTCTATAGGATCATTATTTTAGCAGTTTCAGATGTTACAGGCAGCAGATTATGGTGCAGGCATGAAAATGACAGCAATATAATATCTCTATAAGGGCTTGCTTATTATACCTGGAAGGATATACTTGTTAACCTAGCCCCAACTTTGAGAAAAAGCTGTGTACTGTATATGATTAAGTTCACCAAACAGAAAACTGGAGTGAATTTCAGGATATATATATATATATATATATATATA